CATTTCGTGAACACCCATTACCTCCTGTGTTACAGCCATGAGTGTGATGAGCCTTTCAAATGTTAATGCATGCTTACTGTTTCTTTTTCATTAAATAAAAACATTAAACAGTAATTGTGACATGTGCAGCAGTGCCTAATAGCCCAGGTTACTTAATGTCCTGAGATATTAGATACAAAATCTATCCACAAATTTTCAGTGATGTTCAGGTCAGGGGACAGTGAGCGCCGTTCCAAAAGCTTCAGCTTGTGTTTCTTGAAGTAGTTTATTGTGGTTTTGAGGTCTGCTTTGGATCATGTCCTGTTGTAGCAGCCAGCCTCTTTCAGTTTCACTTGTAACAGCACATTAACATTTGAAGAAAGGCTCATTGTAATATATTTTTGGCTACAGGCGTTGTATTTACTTTCATACAGGGGTTGTATTTTGTAAACGTTTATATACAACTATATATAGTTGTTGTAGTAATATCAAGGAAGGCCGATTCAAACCTGGACTAGAGTAATTGGGATTTTAAAGACTTTAAGAATCTAATTTAGTCTAATCTATAACAACAAACGAGTCAAACTTAATGTTGTTCAGACCAGAAGAAGGCTGACTAATCGTCAAATATTAGTTTTACTTGGACTCAGCGGGTCAAACTACAGTTGGTTTCACTATTATATGCAGAGATGTTATAATCAGTGAACTGTTTTAGCTTCAAGAAGCGAATTTCAGACGCGTTGCCGTTTCCTTCTGTAGCCTAATGTGAGCTGTTGGCTACCATTTATCGATCCTCTGTCTGTTGATTGATACTAAAATGCAGTATGTTATAAACGTTGAGGAGCCTCAGTGATGTGGTGAATCAGCGATTATCCTGCTCCGTGAATGGTGCACCTGAAGGTGAGTGATGTGTGGGTTTCCAGGGCCCACGGTGATCACCGCAAGCTAATACTCATAGCATCCCAGCTACGACTCCCGGAACACGGTTAGAAAAGAAAAAAAAACAATCCGTTTCTGTCAACCACGTGTCGCTACCCAACATAGACGGACAGATAAACAGTTTTCGGTGAACAAGGGGCGGTCTCTCTCACCTTTTGGACGAGAATAGCGGCCCAAATCAGTGTTTCAGGGACCCTCATGATGCTTAGCTCGTTGTTGTTTCCCCCATCAACCACCGTCCAACGGCTCTGCTAGAGCCCAGCTGTTCCAACAGGACACGCCCATTTGGTATGCGGTTGTTTTAATTGGCTGTTATCGTGAGGCCAGTAAGCACCTCTCTGATTGGTTACAGTCAAAGTCAGTCAAAAATGATGCCAAAGTAAAAGTATTGATATGGAACAGAAGTTAAATGATACATTTAACTGAAATTTAATTAAGCATTTTAGCCTGATTTTAACCGGGATTTGATATGATGTGTTGTGATAGGTTAAGACAAAGAAATTTACATGCTACCCAGACTCGCATAAGGTATCCCCACCCTTACCAGCTGCAACAAGTGATTATCAATAATTATAATAAAAAAAATATAGTGTATATTACTCTGAACTGGAATTTTACTTTATGTATTTTTATGTATTTCAGCCTATGGTCGGCAAGGGAGAGACGGCTAGCTTGCCGCCAGTGGGCCATACGCATGGATGTATTATGAGACTATCGTCCATGGCCATGCGTGAAGCAAGCAAGCTACCTGCTGGGGGACTTACCCAGCTAACAGTTTCAGTTCTGGGAACGTTCCGCGAACTAACATCTTCGTTTTCACAACGTTTCACATATTTTGCCTAAAATGAACGTTTCTTTTTTATATAGCTTACTGGGCTTCCTCACGAAGGTAGTAGAAAGTATGCAGCCAATGTCTTTGAGGTGTACATTTTCCATCAGCTGCAAAACATCATGCATTCATAAAGGCATCCTCAATTTATCTTGTCCATACAAATCAGAACAATTTGTCCTTTAATTGAAACGGAACTGGTTATAAGAAACGTAATCGGCTGCTATGGTTCCCACAGTCTCAGGGCAGCCTTCAGCCAGCTAGCTAAGCTGGCTAGCGTTTCAGCCGATGAAAAGTTAAGGCTACAGCAAAGTTCTATGTGTTATTTTACTGTCTACTGTTGTGTACAGCCTTTACAGAATGAGCTATGTTGATTGAGCATGTTTTCTAGGCAGTGCTTTGCTGTTATTGCATTTGCAGAGTGCTTCAAATTAAAATTATTGCTGTTTTTCAGTTTATCTATAGTTATCATTATTTCTGCCTCTAAATTTGTATAAGATCCTTTGACTGGGAAAAGATGTCACACTAATTTTTTACTGGCCCACCCAAAATACATTTCAGCCTAATTTATTTACGAAGTTTTGTGTCATGGATGGATTGGGGTTTTCAGTGTAGGTTACTTCCAGCATGCCAAATCCATGCAATTTGGAATAAGAAGGCTACAGCTCTGCTTTCCATCCATAAACCTCTATTTTCACTAAAATGATTGCCTACTGAACAGCCTCAAATATACGTCTAATCAATGCAAAGTTTTGTTTTCTCAACCGTAAACTTTGTAAGGAGGCTAATATGAAATACTGCACACTTATACTTCTTAATCTATTTAGCAAGCTACCGTATTCAGCCCGTCAGCTTTCTTACACATTTAACATTGCACATAGTCCCTGGTGGTCTAGTGGTTAGGATTCGGCGCTCTCACCGCCGCGGCCCGGGTTCGATTCCCGGTCAGGGAACACATTTTCAGTTTGGTTGGGTCACTTTAAGGGCGGTTGGTAATTCAAGTGTAAGTATGAGTTGGGAAATGTTTCATCTTCTGACCGGTAGTTCACATCCAAATCAACGAAAATTTATCCTTGGATCTAACGCGTTCCTTCAAAGGTTTCACCTGGACAACCTGAACAACAGCTCTTCATAATGGTCGTCGGTTGTTTTGTTTTTGAACTACATACATATTCTGTGTCAAACTTAAAGCTTTTGGAAAATTTGGTGACAAAGACATTTTTGGCTGTTTGACATTTGCTTCAATTATTTATTAATTTATTTATTAATTCCTATATTTATTTATTTGTTTATTAAAACTTCCTATTATTTATGTATTTTTTGGTAATTTTTCTTCTCCCTTACATGCATCTTCTGCTAACATCCTGAGCTCATTGAACGTATACATACATTTATAAATCTCCATGATTTTTATGTGTTGTAATATCAATGCTGTCGAACAAGGAATTTTAGCTCTTTATAAATATCAGCAGTCCCTGGTGGTCTAGTGGTTAGGATTCGGCGCTCTCACCGCCGCGGCCCGGGTTCGATTCCCGGTCAGGGAACACATTTTAAGAGTTATTGGGTCATCTACATTGTACATCCTCGCATTAAAGCAGACTAGTCTCTGCCACTTAACACAGAGTTTCTCCCTGGATTTAAACCTCTGTATATATACATATATATACATATATATATACACACACATACAAAATAGCATATGACACCTACTGTGTCATACGTTATGTCATTACACTGTATCACAAAGGACTAGTTGCTAAATCTGTATGCCAATTACACCATGCAGGGATTTTAATACCTAGGAAACTTTAAGCTACAATTGAGTTCTGTGTAAATAAAATTAATGGTATGTCATCAAGGAAAATTGTCAAACTAAGACATCACAAGTATCAGTAAGTTTTTTGACCGTACACTTGTTTTAGAATCAAACTAGCAAAAGATATTGTGAAAGGTTAATAAAGAATGAACTGTATCTGTATTATTTAATTATTCAAGTTCAGGTTGGATAGTGTATGTTCTTGACATTTTGTATAGTGTGTATTTAATGTGTTTTGTATATGCCTGTGATCATAATTTCATTTTAGACATTCAGATGCTGTTTTAATTGGACTACATCCTAACCATTAAACCACTTATCAGTCGAACAGAAAAGTGAATACATATGTTCTGTCTGAGTATCCTCTTTATAAAATGGATGTCATCTATGGCACCCTATGTTATTTGTTTTGTTGTGGTCTGAATCACCCCAGTCTGTCTTTAATCTTTGCTGTTGCATGCTGGATCTTGTTATTCATTGACGTACTGCAGCGGGTTGATACAGTCAGCATGATGTCATTCCATATGTCCGTCCTTCTGCTGGATATTTACCTGCAACAAGTCACATATCAACACCGGAACTTGAACGATTTCTTTCTTCACAACAAAAGCACCAATTTCAGTGTGTGTTTGCTATTGTTTTATTTTTGTCTGGTTGGCTGACAGGCTGGCTGATATCGTCTGTAAGCATTTATGAAGATAAATGTCACAGTTTTAGCAGAAAAGTACTGAGCATCCAAACAGGCATGCTTTCCTTCACCTCGTTATGGATTTAATGGGGTGCCATTGGGTGGTAGAACTGTCACCTGCTTCTATAAGAAGATGTGAATTAGTGCTACAGCATACATCAGTGCATCTAATGTGGTGAAAGTGCAGGGTGTAAAAGGTACCACATCTATATTGAAAACCTAATCCTAACCTAACCTAAGAGCAACATTTTTACATATAGTTGTCACTTACAGTATTGTTATTGCTACTTTGCACATGTCTGTGTATGTATATTTGATATTAACTGTACATGACAAATAAACTTGAATGGACCTAAAAACTTTTAATTTTCCGTGTCTGTGAACTAAAGGGTTCAAGTTTCCACATTACACATGTAAGATTACATATTGGACCATGACTGACTGTAAACTAACTGTTACATCCTCTTGTTACATCAACATACATCATTCTACAAACACCCAGGTGAAGTTACAATAAGCAAAAAAATTTGAGTGGAGGGGGCCTTTAAATATAAAGAGTATGCTTTCAGTGTTGCTTCAGAAATATTGGTGGTGGACAAAATGAATATTTACTGTAGTAATTAGTCCCAGTGCATTACAAAAAGAAGTATACCAATCATATGTAGGGCTACCACAAATAACATATCATTTGGCAGCAAAAACTAGTGAGGCTTTTATTTTGAATCACAGGGCCGGAAATTCTACATGTCATAGTAGCTACTTGACACCGTTCAGTCCTCACACATTTTACAGAGGAATGCAGCTCTCGTAGCCAACTATACTGTAAGTACCCGTTGTTGCATTGCCTTCACAATTTATTTGGTTAAATATGTACCTTTCTGACAATATTCCAGTGTCGTTAATCGTATATTTTCCAAAGTGAAGTCATAAACAGCGAGAGCCGGTGTTTATACGGTAGGTTAGCTAGATACGCAGCTAGGCTAGCGTTAGCTGTCTTCCGTCGTCGGGATTCCCTTAATTCTTCCTTTAAAACAGTTTGTACTCCTTTAATCTTGAAAAAGTTAATAGGTTGTACCTTTGGCCCGCGTTTATCACTGTGTTTGTGGCAATTAGCTCGATCTTTATGCTGTTGATATGAATGATAATCCACGGGGAAAATGTCTCTGGTTCCTGCTAGTAACACAAGCAGCAGAGTCGCTACTCAGCATCTTGTACAGCGCCCAGCGGTGTGTTATAAGATAAAATCAGAAATTGTTTTATTTTAATCGTGTTTTTTTTTTATAGACTAGGCACAATAATAGTTTCCAAGGAGGAAACTGACATATAGTCGGGAGTATAGCTTAACCCCAGTCCCTTTAATTGAGTCAGAGATAGCTGGTCCAGGGAGGAGATGATGTAAGTAGGACTGGTATGCAGGGGTCTGACATCAGCCAGAAAGTCTCTGAAAACTAAAGCTGTGTTGACTCGGGCCAAATAAGGAGGAAAGAAGGCAGGTAATAGGAGGTGAATGTCCCTGTAGGTGGAAAATGGAAAATTTTGGCTTACACCAAAGACTTTTAAACCCACTCACATGGCATTGTTTTGGTCCCTGTGCTGTCTGTCACTGCCAGTCTCTATAGGGTTTATAACTTTCTCTATTTTCTTTTTCACTGCAGTGAATCTCAAGGCTTCACTCCTATCATACCATGGCTGGCTTCAGGCAAGAGGATGTCGAGTTGTATTATGAAATGGGAGAGGAACTGGGCAGGTATGTGACATTTCTTCTCTGACAAAACACATTGTGTCTGTAAGCATCCAGCTAAAACCTCTACATACAAACACACTGTTCATACTGGGCCTTAACATGTCTTGGGTGTCGCAGTTGCTGGTCGACTGCTCCAAATACTAGTTTCAGTGCACGCAAAACGCAAAACACATTAATGATGCTTTCGGATCTATTCATTTACACGTTTGAAGGTTATCAGAGAGTCGTGTCATCAACACACTGTTTGTTTTGTTGTGTGAATACAAATTGCCACCTGTTCGCGTTGGAAAACATTATTTTTTTAGTTCGTAGTGTGTACATAGAATGACAGTAGATTTTCAGATGTGAAACAAATCGGACAAGTTTGTATGACAAGGTACCAATTTGCATCCTCAGATATTTTTTCTAGCCATGGGCAGTGCACATATGTCTGTTTTTCTGATTATTAGTGCTTGTAGGTTTCCATGAATTAAAGCAAATGTTAGTATGAAGCGTAATAAAATCACACTTGATTGCTTGAGATGTACTCTAGATGCATTTTGATGCCAGGTGTGAAGTGCAGTCCTTCCAAAACTTTACATCTGAACAGGGCCAAAATATTTAAGTATGTGTCGGCAACACATAAAAAAATATACTTTTACACTGTGCTTGATAGTCTGTGAATGAGTCTTCAAATTTTAGAAAGTTAAAATCAACTTTCTATCCTAGCTATTTTCTTTCTGCAGTAATGCAGCAAAAGCATGACATCACTACTTCTCAATGTGCCTTTCCACCTCTGCTGTGGTGTAGTGTCTCAAGAGGGCACTGTGTGTGTGTGTGCTCTGATGGAAAAGTATGCAGACATTAAATGGGTGAAAATTAAATTCTCTGCACAGACATGCATTGTTAGATGGCAGATTTTTTATTCTTTGCCACAAATTACATTCTGTTGGTTGCCATTCATTTCCTCACAAAGCTATAGACTACATACATAATATTTCCATTATTTTTACTTACAGTAATACATATGGCTCTGTGCTGACCATGTACTGTTGTTCTTCCAGTTGCTTCAGCATCACGTCACATGTGTTAGGTTTGTTTACCTTCTACTTAGACAACGAAGAATCATTTTCACTACCAACTATTGTATCAATTATTATTTTCATTAATCCATCACTTAATCTCACGTTAACAAACCCAGGGGTCGGGACCTTGTGGTGGGTCCCCATAATAAATCTGTATCCTGCATCCTCATTAATACAACTTAAAGTTTCCTAAAAGAAGAGGAAAAAGTCTGCCAGTGCAGTGAGAACACTTCTATTTGTTTCCTGTGTAGATCAACTTTTTCCAAGTATTTTCCAAAATCATTGAGTTTCATCATTCTGGTGCACCAACATGCCCTCTCCTCTCTTGTTTTAAAGATACAGACTCACAATTCATGAAAATATTAGTAATAGTTCAAACATGTAATAGTTCAAACATGTTGATTTCTGAAGAAAAACTGAAATATTCTCACTGCAGTGGCAGATTCTTTTTATTTTTGTTAAGAAAATTAGGTTTTTATAATTTAATAACAAACAGAACTGACTTGATAAGGTATTATATTTTGTTACAGTGATTTATCTTGTGAAATTAGATTTGGTCACTTTTTTGGGCCTCTTAAAATCCCTTATATGAAGAAATCTTCGGAAGAAAAATGACTCTTCAGTTTAACATCGACGCCATTAACTATATCTATAAAAAAGTTTGGACACACTGACTTAGTCAAAAACAATCATCACCCAAGTGATGTCTTGATATAGCTGTATGTGGCTGTATGTACTCTGACCAGCAGCCAAGAATGAAATCATTAGAATAACATGAAGCTGTAAAAACACAAAAAGCAAATCTAAGTAGCTGTGCTGATATAACTGGCTATTTTGCTATTCTTACTTGATAAATGACTATAAAGATCACGGATTAACAATTATCATCAAAATTGGAGACAATTTTCTTTCAATTGCCAAGAAATTAAGTAATCATTTAAGTCCTATTTACTATTTAAGTCCTATTACTTGCATGTAAGAAATAATATTGCTCTTATTTTTTTCACACCTCTGTTCTCTCTCTCCTGTAGTGGACAGTTTGCCATCGTTCGCAAGTGTAAGGAGAAAAGCACAAGTATCGAGTACGCTGCGAAGTTCATAAAGAAGCGGCGACTGTCATCCAGCCGACGAGGAGTGAGCCGTGAAGAGATCGAGCGCGAGGTCAACATCCTGCGGGAGATTCAGCACAGCAACATCATCACCCTGCACGACATCTTTGAAAACAAGACGGACGTGATCCTGATCCTGGAGCTGGTGTCAGGAGGAGAGCTGTTCGACTTCCTGGCTGAGAAGGAATCTCTGACGGAGGAGGAGGCCACCCAGTTTCTCAAACAGATCCTGGACGGTGTTCAGTATCTCCACTCCAAACGGATCGCTCACTTTGACCTCAAGGTCAGCAGTCTGTATGTTTGAGACCGCTTGTATGTGAGGCTCTGGGCCAACAGTCGTAAATGACATGTTGGCGAGAAGTTCAGGTGTTAGTAGAAGCTTACGTTGTACTATAAGTATCTGGCACTTCTGTGTTCTGAGAGATTTTTCCGTCTGTAACGCAGGACAGGACTGTTGACAGGCTGACACGCTGTCCTGCTGTGCGTGAGAAAAACGTATACAGTCTATGGGCAGAAAAGCAGAAAGATATATTTGGGTGATGATTTCTGTAAAGTTGCAATGATTAATCAGTCCATCGATTAGTTAGAAAGAAAATAAAGTAGCATCTATTTACATAATTTATCATTTCAGCCACTGTTCAGGCAAACATGTTAAACATTTTCTTGTTTTAGATTCTCAGACATGAAAATTTGCTGCTTCTCTTCGACATATTTGAAATACATTTTGTTTTTTTGGACTAATGACCAGACAAATCAGGCAATTTTAAGATGTTGCCTTGGGCTGCAGGGAGTTTCTTTTTATAGACCAAACTAAAATAATCGAGAAAATGATTAGCAGCGAAAAGGAAAATAATCATTAGTTGCAGCTCTAGATTGTTGAATAATGTGATGATATGGTGGCGATGATTATTCCCTTATTGTTCTTTAAATCACATGGACGTGACAAGTTATTAAGACTTGTGTCTGTTGAATGTATAAATAAGCAACTGTATGCCATATAATCCCAAGTGGCCAAAATATCTATTAATACAGCCTTAATCTAAGATCAAGGGAAAGTAAGTGCCCTGGTAACATGTTCTACTTTCGCTCTGTGTATATGTGTACAAAATTCAAACATTTCCTCCTTCTTGCCCTGTTTTTTCAGCCTGAGAATATCATGCTGCTGGACAAGAACGTCCCCAACCCCAGGATCAAACTGATTGACTTTGGGATTGCTCATCAGATTAAAGCAGGAAACGAGTTCAAGAACATCTTTGGAACACCAGAGTTTGTTGGTGAGATCCTTTCCCCCCCTCCTACATATCCATTTCACACAGTTAGAATGTTTCACTTTGAAAATCCTAATTCAGTTCTTGTGCTGGTTTGTGCCCACGCTGGCAAGTGAGGTAAACCTTGTAAGTAGATGTTTCGGATCACATCTGGTTTGAATTAAAGTGTTCATTCCTCTGTGCTTTACAGCGCCAGAAATAGTCAACTATGAGCCACTTGGACTGGAGGCGGACATGTGGTAAGATGTGAACTTGTGTTTTTTTCCCTCTGAAGATGTGTTCTCATGCGACAGTTTCCACTCATGTTTGGTTCTTCTCTACTCTGCAGGAGCATCGGAGTAATCACATACATTCTGTGAGTAATAATTCACATCATGACTGGTTGTTGTCATTTGTAGAAGCAGAAATCACTTCACCCCTCCTCCATGTGTCATCTAAAGCAAAGCCTCTCTCTGTGTTAGGTTGAGTGGTGCTTCACCATTTCTTGGCGAGACCAAGCAGGAGACCCTGACTAACATCTCAGCTGTCAACTATGACTTTGATGAGGAGTATTTCAGCAACACCAGCGAGCTGGCCAAAGACTTCATACGCCGTCTGTTGGTCAAGGATCCAAAGTAAGAATATCTTCTCATTTAACGCCACAAGAAAAAGAGAGAAATGTCTGTTCTGTAAACATATGAAAGTGTAAACTCTTCCATTTTCTCACCGGTGGATTATTTTCTCTTGTAGGAAGAGAATGACGATTGATGACAGTCTCGAGCACCCCTGGATTAAGGTGGGTGTTGTATCCAGCATTTATATCTGGTTTTACAGTATAATATTCACAGTCATGTTTGCAACTGAACTGCTGAGCTGTCTATTCATATTAACAAACTTTTAATCAGTTTTTTTATTTTTATAATTAAGAAATATTTCAAAGGTCTTTCATTTTATATTCTGAAAGTGCTGAGAAATTAATGCACGCTCTTGTGTCTACATGACTATATTAGAACAATATATTAATGTGGTGTGTTTATGTAACAAAATGAGTTTATTAACAATATATCAAACATCAGTATCAGTGTTGGCCTCAAAAAGCCAGTGTCAGTCGGGGTATGTTATCGAATCACCTCAAACCTTTGAATTTTTCCTCTCCAGGTAATTAAGAGACGGAACGTGCGTCCTGAGGAGAGAGACCACAAGCCTGAGCGTCGGCGCCTGAAGACCACTCGTCTGAAGGAGTACACCATCAAGTCCCACTCCAGCATGCCACCTAACAACACCTACGTCAACTTTGAGCGCTTCTCCCAGGTGCTTGAGGAGATCGCAGCGGCAGAGGAAGGCCTGAAGGATCTGGAGCGCAATCAGCGCTCGTGCCAGGAGGATGTGGCGGCGCTGCTGTCCATCTACGAGGAGAAGGAGGGTTGGTACAAGGAGGAGAACCAGAGCATCTCCAGCGACCTGAGCCATATCCGGCAAGAGCTGCACCGCTCTCAGGCCCAGCGCAAGAAGTGTCAGGAGGACGCCCGGGTCACCATGCAGGCCGCCAACATCCTCAAGCGCAAGTTCGGGCGCCTGGAGAACCGCTACGAGGTCCTGGCTGAGCAGGTGGCCTCTGAGGTCCGCTGGGTGGAGGAGCTGGTCAAGTCCATATCTGCAGAGAAGGACGGGCTCAGCTCCGGCAGCATGCCCTGAGCTGGGCTGACGTCCAACAATGACATTTACATTCTCAAGTATCCTCCTGCCCGTCTTCTCTGCATGCGTGCTACGCAGCAGAGTTGGAGTGGGTCAGTTGTCATCATAAGCTATGCTGCTGCCCATCGGGAAAAATGTTCCACCCTTTTTATGTCATGCTTGAGAATACCAGCAAGAAGCAGAGAGGCAATATACTGAACCCATTCCCCCATGAAGAGGCTCATTCCTGTGTTTTATAAATTAATTTATGATTTTAGAGATTTTACGTACTATAATTCAGCTGCATCAGAGTTAACAAAATTATTTGCAAGCTACATTGGCTTTTTTTGCCGTTGTCGGTATTGCAGTTGGAGAATGCATTTGTTTCTTTTTGTTACCGTGGTTATCTTTTTAGACACTAAATTACGTCTGAACTGTCCAGTGCTTTAAAAGTCATAGACATCTGCTTATTTACTCCAGCCTCAGGTTATTGGCCAGTTATGTGAGAAAGTGTGACAATATACAGCTTAAAGTATCAGGTTTGCACAGAAGTCAGGGGTATTTATTTATCCGTTTACGTGCATTTCGGATTTGATTGCAGCTGACATTGAATTTCTCTCATGTATTGGGACAGAGTGTCGACTGTAAAGGATGCAATAAACACAAACCCTCAGCATAGAAGATTTAGGTTAATGCTTTGCTTTACAGGTCTGTTATTACCTCAGTTTGGTAATTGTTACAGGGAAAATAGACACGCTGTCATTTCAATTAGTTCAATTAGTTAGTTAATTAGAAAAATTTCAAAGAAAGATATTGCTCCATTTAAACCCCAGTAAATATTCTTTAATCATTCATTTACTTTATCTTTTTTATATTTGCTGAATTTTATTTGTAGACTCAGTTCACATTTTGCATGTTCAGCTCACTTGCTGTCCCCCAAATAACATGGTTCTCTCCAGGAAACTTCCTAGGTAATTATTTGCAATTGAGAATCAGAATTTATGGACCTGTAAAATAAAGCGTTGCCAGATTTGAGAATGTAGAAACTCATCTTTGCAGTGCCTGTAAACTGATCGACCTTATTGCCTCTGCAAGCACTCATCTGTTACTGAATGACATTTCTATCACATTGATATCGCTCAATGTCTTAAAAGCAACAACTTTTGCACAGCAGCCTTGTAAACCAAATAGTGTGCATGGAAACTTACTGTATCTCTGTTAGTTTTTCTGTTTTCATTCACACCATCCCTGCACACTTAAAACATTCCACTGATGCGTTTCATATCCAGGCAACACATTCCCCATGTATAGCATAGAAAGTATATGATATAGTCAATAGTATTTTTCAGTAGAGAAATGTACTCGTTTGCACTTAAATGATTATAGCAGTGTTCCAAAAATATGTTTTAATCTGTCTCTAAGGTGTAAGAAAGAGCTGAAAAATGAAACTGTCTGGGTTTGTTTCAAATAAACAAAGTTATCACTGTAACTAAGTCTCACTCATCTGTTGTTATTGTGTGAATGAGAACTCTCTTTACTCTATCTAATGGTAAGATTATTATTCAGGTTGGCAAATCTTCCAAGTTTCTCATTGTTATGACACAGGCAACACCTTGTAAAACACCTTGAACTGAGCTCAGTACAGCATTTAACTCCAGAGTAAAAGTATCAAGAAGGCCCCCTGGTGGTGACGTAACAAAATACATGATATATTAAAAAGGCGCCTTCAGTTTGAATCTTATATCTTGTACTTTCAGAGAATTAAAAATTTCTAAGAATCTGTACTTAATGTTATTATGTGTATTGTAATTATTTCATAGTTGCTTTCATGTGCTGAAAGCATCAAAAAGTATGTTTATGAATAAGATAAACAAGATAAACTCCCCACACTAAAAATAGTTTTGTATAGACATTATAGACAATATAATAAAAGTAAAACAATGTTTGTTTTTAAGTGGTTTTATTTGTATATTAATTATGGCAATAATACAATATTAAATAACAATAAATAAGCTTGTTATCAGTTATCTTTCAGAATTCATCACAACTGTTCGCTGATGATAAATGTATCAAACTCCTTCCCCAAGATAATAGGCAATAATCTGTAAACTTTGAAATTGTACAGCATCCTGTATGTGTAATAATGTAAATGTTAAGTTGTTCTCTTTGTTTACAAATGATACAAAGAACTTTTAAAACCATTTTGAAACAAATGGATAACTGGAGCTACAATCACTACAATGGAATAACCAGAGGTCATAGAAAGAACTATTCTTCTGTGTGTTAAAATCAGCCGTGAGAATGAGCGGACTTCAATCTGAAACCACAGCTGGAACAGCTGGAGGTGGCAGCAGTGAAATCCTTGGCAGTGGTCTCAGGAAAACTGCAGTCTGTGCGTTCATGATTTCGGTCCAACATGATCCGCGCTGACCGACCATGCGGACAAGTCAGACGAGTGGTGCTTCCTTGTTGTCTCTGCAGAATTGGAGAGAAAGAGAAAAGACCATTGTTCTGTTTTTCTTCATCCCGGTCCAGAGCAGCACAAAACTCTTTCTTGGAGTCGAGGAGTAGGAATGTTAATTGCTTATGCATCTTTCAGAGAGTTAATGTGGGCACAGAGTTTCAGTGCAGGTCCCAGTTTAAGGTTCATGGTGCTGACCAGGTGATCCTCAGTGAGAAGCAGCAGAGCCTGTCCGTCTATTTCCTGGGAGCGAAAGTCTTCAGCGACATCCTGACCTCCTGGAGAGAAGAGAAGGTAGAGAGTGTCTCCTGCTCATTTTGATGTTGGCAGATATTTACAAACTTATGATTTTTATGCAACTATTTATTGTGGCTGAAACTAATGATTATTTTCATTATTTCATTTTTATATCTTTTTTTTTTACCTTTTCTAAAACCTTTTTTATTTGAGCAGGTTAATATATTTGGATGTTTGTTATCATGCTGAAAATCAACCAGAAAAAACAAACTAAGTAATATATGTATTTTGTTTTGCCATCACATCACATCATGAACAGGTACCTCGCAAACAAGGAACTTCTGAAAACCAGTTTAAATGCCAGCTGTATTTTTTTTTTTTTTTTTTTTTTTTTTAGGGAATCCTAACTTTCTAATCCAAAATAAAACACACTTTTAAGGTGTCACAGCACTGAGCACTGACTGGTGGCTAAGTGAACTCTCAGTGATGTGCAGTGCAAAACACATGCAAATGACCACTTTAAAGTGATGCAGCTATTAAAATGAGCTGTATGTCTTCTTTAGATTCTGCCTGTTTTGCCACAGAGGTCATTTTTCCTCATGCAGCTTTTCAAATGCATACAGTACTTGCTCAGTTAATTAGAAAGTATTTGTCCTCATGGTCATTTGGCATGTTAATCCGAATATAACGAAGAAATTGCAACAGGAGAGAACAGTAAATAGCTAGTAGGATCATAGAATTGAATTCTAGCAGAACTTCTATCCTGATACACAGCATGTGGCCAAATCCTGTCTAACCTCAGTCGTGCAGTACCTGGCAGAGAGTTGATATAAGAAAACACTTGTTCCACGTTCCACTGCGATGGACAGCCGACGTCTTCCTCTCCGTCGGAAACACTGATCGTTTCTGGCATCCTCTGCTCTCTCTCCTGCTCTCTCGCCCTCTCTCGCTCCCTCTCAGCCTGCTTCCGGAGCCTGGTCTTCATGGGAACAGGAGGCTCCTCTTCCTCCTCCTCCTCCTCCTCCTGCGCCTCCTCCTCCTCCTCCCTCAGTGAGCACTGCTGGGTCTCCTCTGAGCCACATGACCCATGAGCCTGCGGAGCGCAAAGACGATATATTCTGTGTTTTTCTTTAGGGTTACACTACTTACATTTCAGTTAAAAACAGTTTACAACAGTTTAATGATGTTTTCAGAATAAATAGATGTTACTATTGCAATTATTATTAAAGATTATAGCAACATCAGCTTTTGTCTACATCAGCCTTCAAAAGCATGGTACAGTTAAATCTAAATATTATTTGATTGAATTGATGTATTCAATATTAAATTCTTGACTCCATGAAAGGAACAGAACAGAGTTATTTTAAGGATGATGCGACTTTACCACATATCAATTAAATTTTAAGGACTCACTGTCATCTTTCCCTAGTTATTTATTTAGTTATTTTTGACCATTAACTCTTTTATTTTTATGGATTTATTTTTACTTAAAAAAATTTCATTAAAATTTTAGCATTTTATTTTTTTCATTTTGTGTTCTATTAATTTTTTTCTCTACTTTTTCACTTACTACTTTTTCCTGTCTTTTTTCACTGTGTTGTTTGATTGTAAAGCACTTTGTAACTTTGATTAGAGAAGGGCCGTATTAATAGTTTGTTGCTGCCCTGCCTTTACTTGTAGTAGTAGTCATAGTAGTAGTAGTAGTAGTAGTAGTAATAGTAGTAGTAGTAGTAGTAGTAGTAGTAGCGGAGTTACTTCATAGCTTTTCAATCTGTGAACACAATACATTTTGAGCCAGGTTGACTCTTCAGAGATCATTAAGGCCAGAAGAAAGTAGGTTTTGAAAAATGGCTGTTTTACAGTTGTCATTGTCTATAAAGTCTTATAGACCAACGGTTTCCAACCGGGGGCTGAAAGATAACCCTGATGATTAACAGGACACAGAAAGCAGAAAAAAAAGGCTTAGACTTTCCTTCGTCCTTGCTTTCTTTTTTCTCATAGTTTACTGAATAATTTTGTCTATCCCCTCCGGCCTCCTAAAATGACTCAAATAAAACAAGGGAATTCTTCAGTTGAACTGGTCACAACTGGACACCATACACCACCAGTGATGAAGGTCACAAGTGGTCGTTGCTTCTTTTGAAGTGTCGTGAGCCAGAAAGGTTGGAAACCACTGTTACAGACATTAAAACTGTCCATAGATACATTAGGTCCCTAAAGACACAGAACTCACAGAAAGAACCCAGGGCTCTTTTTGAAGTTTTATCCTGTACAATTTTGCAAATTTTATCACAGGGGTCTCCTGCAGAGCTTTGTTCCTGTCAAATGTGGCTGTTCCCCAGAGAGCAGCTCGTCTTAAGGACCAGTGATCCCTGTAGCACCTCTGTATTTTCCTGGATGCATGAGGTCAGTGATATTAACTGACCTGTCTCAGGAAATGTTCTCTGGAGGCTCCATTGACTCTGCTGGGGGGTCGTCCTCTCCGGCCCATTGGCCTGTGACCCCAGCGGCCTGCTCTCAGCAGGGTGATACGCTTGGTGCAGCTCACACTGAACCTAAACATAGAGAGTCAGTCACAAAATATTAGATTGGATTTGTACTATGTATGTACTATGTAGACAATTAGACAGGCATTAGCCATTCGTGAGCTGATGGTCTACATCTGCGTCCTCTCTTTAATGCCCTGGATGGAGACTCAGAGGGAAACATGGGAGTGATTATGCACTTGAGACTTTTTCTTATGACCCAAATGGAGCTTAATGGACTCCACATGTCAGATGACGTTTGTCACCACCACAGGAACAGGCAGCATTTTTACTTGTCACGTGTGGCAGACAAAATAAACCTTACATAATTTTTTTTATCTTTTTCTCAGACTGTGTGGTAAGCGGACTTATCACACTAACACTGAAACAGGGCAAACATAAAATGCTGCATAAGAGCTGCATAATAAAATATCCAACATTATCAACTGCTGTAAAGGATAAAGCTGGCATTTTTCAGTGTTTCATACTTTCAGCCCCACCTGTACTGGTTGCTACTTGAGATATAAATGTGCCACAAATACAGTAATTTAATGTTTCAAAAGATCATGTAATTTCCTAAAACAGCTGGGCACTGTAGTTTCATGCAAATGTTACTTCAACAGAAGTAGGCAGTCTATTTGTTGGGGACTATTTTCAGCAGCAGATTAATACATGAGTATTCCTGGCAGAATGTCAGTGTTTGTGGCATTAACTCTACATAAACTTAAAGTATTCTAACTGCTAATTTTGGTTTTACCTCAAATGTGTGTTTTTAATTTGTTTTTTAGACTATATCTGTGGCACAGAGGCTTTGGATCTACACACAATACTTGTTATTACAATCAATCAGTTGTTGGTTTTGTTCTTCTCTGGAATTTATAGGCAATAACAAATATAGAATAATGCCTGATGCTTGACATTACTATCTGAGAACTAGAAATATGTTAATCACATCTTGATGTTGGTGCGGTTTATTTACCTTCTGACACACGTCATGGAGCAGAAGCGCTTGGAGCGCAGAAATGTCTCAGCATAACCTCTGTTCCCGCAGTATTCACACTGCAGCACACCTGCAACACTCTCCCCCAGCTCTGTAACTTCAGAGGACCAGCTGTTAGTAACACACACACGCACGCACACGCACGCACACACACACACCCCCACTCCACATACGCACAGTCCTCACCATCTGCTGTAGGGCCATCATTTTCCATCTCAGAGTCTGTTGAATCTGACTGGTCAGCATCAAGAGGACTGTCCTCTGCTGCTGCATCCCCGTTGCTGCGGGTCTCCTGGGACTCTGGAAGTGAAGCCTGCTGGTCCGCTAAGAGTGAGGAAGGACCCACCTGCATTTCGAGGAGCATTTAAAAAAGGAAACGCCTTACATAATGATATGGAAGGACATGAGCAATGTATATAGATAAGGAGTAGTTTTCAAATGTCATTCAATTACTACATATATATTTTATTTAATATAATATTAAATAATATTAAATAAATATTCTATTATGTTTTAATTGACTGTGGCACTTTCTTGGTCTGGAGTAAATGAAGAAATAGTGGTGCTGGTGATATTCGTTTTTTTTTTTTTTTTTCAACAAACCCCTTTAAAAGAACAAAGCTGACAATGAATGGATGTAAATCTTACATATACCGTCGTACTGCTGTAAATACTCTGAAGTAATACTGAGAGATTGCTGAGTCTAAAAAATGAAACTATAGATTTGTGCTACATTTTAAAGATTTATATCTTCAGTAGAAACATGTGGGTCAGGGGTAGGAAAGTCATAAAGTATTGAGGATCGTGATTTGTTGACAATAAGAAAAATATGGAATAACACCACTGTTAGCCTTTAAAGATAATACTAAAATACACGCTAAACTACTTTCAGCTGTTCTAAATATCTAAAAAGTCTAAAAGACTAAATACGGCAAATTACTTTTTTTGATCCACTTTTTATTATTCACAGATATCACTGTGATTTAGGAAAATATTCCTTTAACATTTCCAGACTTGTCTTGATTAACCACCAGAAAAAAAGTTGTGTTTCCAGTTAACAAGACATGCTATATTTTCCAGTCAAGTTACTTCATCATGTGGTGTGGTTGCACTGCGTTGAGCTTTACTGAGGCTATAATGACTGAATGGCTGATTTGGCACAGTATCTCAGCCACATCTGAAGAGCATCTCCATTATGATTGAGTGTGCATAAAGAAACCCAAACCCTAAAGCTTTTAGCGTGAGCTTTGACTGTAACTACAGCATCCACCTCTACCTGAGGCTCACTGATGCCCTGAGTGACTGCTTGTGCTGCACCTCTGGTGGACATACCGGGAACGGCTCCAGGCCCTCTCTAATGACGAAGCCCTCTATGAGGTGTGTGAGGACGTGGGTTGTAAGTATCCTGTCGGGGCTTCCTGGGACACTGGTAGGGGCAGAGGGAGGCTGGCTGGGGCCTCTGACTGTGGTGGGAAGGATGGGAGGAGGTAGAGGAGGAGGTGGAGGGGGAAGGTTGCTGCCGTGCTGGGAGGGCTCCTCTAACTGTGGTGACCTGATCACTGAGTGACTGGACATGACGGGGGATGAACCCATCACTGCTGGGGAATAAAAGGCATAAAATAATAATAACACAACTGAGGGGTGTTTCTCAGACAGTTAACCATTATTTCAGTAAGTCAGGTTTATTTTCTGGTTTAAATAACTGAATAAATAACTCTGGTCATGATAACCTAAGTTATCATGGAAAGTTTATCCCCTCAGACGAGCCTGGTCCTCATCAGTCTAGTTTTCTAGCATCACTTCCGGCTGGGCCAGTGTTCTGTCTAACACAGTGAAACACGGTGCTGTCTCCGAAGTTCCTCTCTGAAGGTTTCTATTTCCTGCCGTGAACATGAGTCTGTTTGCAGTACATGTCAAATTATATCACATATTGACATGGGATGCACTTAATTGCGTGATTAAAATCTGAAATATCTGAACAGTATCCTGTCAACAGCTGGGCTTTTAAAACCACTGTAGTTAAAATGAAGTATATCAAGAATGGCTGTAGCCTTTAGTATGAACTGTTTCTTCTCTAAGTGTCAATTATACACCCAGAAATCTGTTCATTAAAAATGCAGAAAATGGCAGACAGCCAGTTTGAAGGTATTTAAACAGCATTTTAACCATATGGAGGTCGTTATGTCACAATATCCAACTAATACAGAATTCAAGTTTATAAAAAATGCAAATTAACTTATTGTCTGGTCCTTCTCAGCACTAATCATACAAAGACAGTTCATTTCACTGACGCAGGGTTTGAACCCACTGTGTCCTGGTTGCAAGCAAACTTATCTGAGTTCATCTCTACTTCTGGCTCAGCTCCAGTTGACCTACAACATGCTGTGCAGGACTTCTTCTTTGATTTGTTTACTGTGGTGTTGCAGTAACATCTTATTATAATTTACCTGCACCATTCTGCTTAGGAGACACAATGAGAGCTGTAGGGGTCCTGTCTCTCTGTCGACTTGTAGAACATTCATCTTTCCTCTCGTCTGAACTCAGTCCATTCGCTTTGCACGTTTGCCCCGACTGAAATTCAACCCGACAACAAAACCCTCAGTCAAACCAACACATACTGAGAAGAAGAGATCTGCAAAGAGGACATGGTGACTCACCGATGGAGTTTCATTGCGTCTGACCGTATGCACTTTCAGATCAACAGCCACCGTCTGAGGAGGAGGCAGGTTCTGGTAGGGCATCTGGACCAGGGCCTCAGCTACGGGCAGCTCCTGCTCTGTCAGCAGCACCTGCCCTGACTGGACCGCCAAAGCCTGGACCGAGTGCACAGACAGCCTCTGGAGGGAAGCTGGGGGGTTCTGGGGCAGCCTGGGGAGAACCAGAGGTGGAGGAGGAGGCGGAGGCTGATTCTGCATTTGTGGGAATGAGGTCCGGCGCTGCGGAGCGGCCACCAGAGGAGGAGGCTGAGGCTGAACGGTGGCAGCTGGGATTGAGGCCTGAGCTGATGATGCAAACACGTTGGTGACAGATCGAGAAGAAGAAGAAAAAGAAGAAGAGGAAGTAGAAGAAGATGAAGAAGAGGGGGCTTGGGGGTCACCGTTGGTTTGTGACATGGTGCTGGGAGTGGTCAGTCTTTTAACTGAAAGAGGAAGAGGGTTGTTGGAGTTGGTTTCTTGGGGTGCCACTCTGAGGGCGATGGGCTGAAGCTGCCTGTGGTTGAGAGCGCCTGCTGTGGCCTGCTGGAGGATGAGCTGGTGGTGTGCCACCCGCTGGCCTGATGGACAGGACAGCTGCTGCTTGACCAGAGCGTGGGCCTGCACTGGAGAGTAGGCTGCAGGAAGAGTGATGAATAGGAAGACATCAGGAACAAAAACTAACAAAAGCACATAACAAGTGTCTCCTTTTCCAGGCTTAACTTCCAGTAAATGTGCTCGTCACAGGCTGACAAAGGTTCTTGAATTGAAACCTTGAGTTTACCTGGTGCAGAAAATGTAATAACAAAGGCAACAGTGCATAGAATAGCACTACAATAAAGAGTACCAGACGTCATCATCTTTTCAACAGTTTTCACTATAGCTGTGGCGATGACTCCATATGTTTGGAATGAGTCAGTGTAACATCTCTTTTCTGTATGTGTATAGTGTAGTCTGCAATACATGTATCTCTTTTTTTCCATCTCCAAAGGAAACTTAAAAGAATAATTTGACTTTGATTTTGAGCAATACACTTATTTGCTTTCTTGCCAAGAAATAGATGAGAAGTATATAAGTTCCATGGATCTGTTGCATCTGAAACTGACAGAGCACCTGGTGTCTTTTTGTATTCAATATTTCACCTAGAACACAATTTTCTCCTCCAAAATACTCTAAAGATCTGTCATTGTTTAACTGGGAGATGATGGGGTAGGTAGCAAGCTGCTTTTGGAGATAACATGTCAAGAGAAAATACCTACCAGCACTAATACTGTATATCACAAATGATCTGTTCCACCTTCACTGGGTGTTGGTATTGGTATTTTTTCTTCCCCCTACCTTATTGCCAATGAATGGTTGATTGCTTTGCTTCTTCAGATTGCTCTTTGTGAGTATATACTGTATGGAAGCTTGTTGTTGTCATCTGTTATATGAAATGGCTGTTGAAGGTCACTTGATTCAAACATGGCATAGTTCATCTTCATTACTGTGACTCATCACTTCAGCCTGAAACACGTGGGCTCTTTAGTAAACGTTCCTTTCAGCCTCAGTATTTCATCAACTCACCTGGGGTTATAATCTGGGCTCCAGGCTGACCTGTTTCAGTTGAGGTGTCAGTCAGCTGGTTGGTCTTCAGAGCGCAGATTGACATCTTGGACAAAGAGGCGGCTGGAGACAGGGCTTGGGACTGGGTGGATGGCTTTAAGATGACACTGTGGGCTGTAGCCAGAGCTCCAGGCAAGTGGGCGTGCAGAGCCAGATTCTGCACCTGAATACATGCAAATATCCACTTTTACACTTTGGCTTTGACAGCCCTGCCCTACGTTGTCCTTTAATGCAACTTCACTAATGGTTCCTCTAACATTCATCAAAATCCCAAGCCGCATTTTACCTCTCACTTAAGTATTTCCTAAATATCTTTAATTCTGTAATGTAGCTCATGTTCAAGGTTTGTAACATCCTGAAGTCTATAATGTTGTGGTCTTGAGGCATGCTTGGCTTATTTTAATTCAGTGCCTGGCAAAGTTTGTACCTGAGAGGAGGTAGGTAAAGAGGAGCAGGAGGTGACAGCAGGGAGGTCTGACTGAACTGCAGCCACTGGGGCTGCAGGAGTTAGAATAAGCTGACAGAGGAAAACGCATTCAGTAAAAATAGAAATAGGGCAAATGAGTCATGCAGTTTTGAAGTACCAGTATCACCAGGAGCTTGAGATATTTGAAAACGTTTGTACCATCTGAGTTCGAAGGTACATTTGAGCTTGGTTACAGTTGGCTGGTCGGTTTCCCAGAAGCATGGCCTGCTGGGATATTGTGGTTGCAGCAGCAGTGGAGTTGGATGTTTGGGTGCGGCCAATCAGCTGGGCTGTCACTGGAGATGCTGGTAAAGTGATCTGGATTCAGGGAGACATGATGAAGAATGTAGTCTGAGGTTAATATTTATGGTCAGGTTGATGGGAGTGGGAACAGAGATACTCACCGAGTTTTGGGAAACACCAGCAGGTTGAACCAAACTGCCAGTAGATGAAGAAGGAGACTGCCTCTGACAGACTGAAGCCTGAAAGGTATTGGGAACACATTAGACTCACTGTCTTTCCTGTTAAAATGACTCATCATGCTTGCTCTAACACATGGCGCACACACAACAAACACGTAGACAGTGACCTGCTGTATGGTGGCCAGACTCTGCAGATGGGGGGTGTGCTGGTGCTGGTGCTGCTGCAGGGCTGCTGTCTGCAGCATGAGGTGCTGCTGCTGGGCTGCGTACATCTGATGTAGGTACTGGGCCGCCATGCTCTGAGGTCTGTGGATAGCGTGCTGGATCACCTGTTGGATCATATCATAAAACTATCATATTCCTTACAAATAAATTTTCAGTCCACTGTATCCAGCACAATGCTATCATTCTCTGAAATCTCATTTGTCCTTATTGAACTGACCAAATTAAGTATTTACACTTTACTTTTTTTATCATTATCTGATGTTGCGAATACAGTATTGATAGAAAAATTAAGTAATTTGTAAAAGAAATTGTTCTTCAATATTGATCATTTTATTTCCCTAAACATAATCTAATAAGAACAGAGGTCAAAGATGTGTTTGTGTGTGTGTGTGTGTGTGTGTGTGTGTGTGTGTATTTCATACTGTATCTAGACAGCATATCAATCTATTAAAAAATAAATTACATAAATACCAAATCATGAATTTACTATACAGGGGACTATCTATATACTGAACACCCTGTTGTTTATATTACCAGTCAAGTCCAACAATACCCCAGGTCCCAGGTGCTATCTATTATCTGAATTACCTTCCTATCCAATGACAAAAAGCATGCAAAGGTCCCAGGTACTGTCTATTAGCTGGATTATATTCCTGTCAAAGCACTGCAGAGGTTCCTGGTAATTTCTAGTGCATGGACTGCTTGTCAATCAAGTGAAAAACTCTATGCAAAGGTCTCAGACAATGTCTAATACCTGGACTACCCTCCTGTCATATAACACTACCTGTGCCGAGATCCATGGTACATTTCACCTGGATTGTTTGCTTGTCAAATTAAATCATGTATACAGAGGTCCCAGGTACTGTCTATTGCCAGTACTGCCTGTTGAATATTATGCAGGAGTCCGAGGCACAGTCTATTTCCTGAACTATCCATCTGTTAAATTAGGTACGCAGGGATACCAGGTACTGTCTATTACCTGGACTGCCTGTCTGTCTGATGGGATAATGCCGAGGGAAGCGGTGGGCGCCTGGGTGCACGTGGTGCTGCCGGAGCTGACTGTTGCCATGGTGACGGCAGCTGATGTGGTGGGGGTGGTGGTGGCCACAGCCCTATTAGTATCTGCCTGCTTCTCCCCTGGGCTCTGCCTCTCCATCTCCCAGGTCACACACAGATTCAGTGATGGGAAAACTGTATGGAGATAAAAACAGATGTCCATTAACAGGAGGTGGTTAAATAGCAACATCACCAGAATCAGGTTCGTTTGAATGAGATGTTTCACTGGTTAGCAGTTTTCTCTCTCTCTGCTAACACCTGCAGTGTTAAGGTTAAACTACGTTACTTTAATAAGGATTGAGCAGGCATATGTTTCCTCAAACCCGGATCTTTGACTAAAATACACTGTAAATAAACTTCGAGCTCTCTTGGTTCCAGGATTTAAATTCAACCTGCTATTCGGCCATAATTGACAGATATCTTTCTGATGTTATTATAAAAAATAATAATTCATTTGATAGATTTCACTGAAGCGTAAATTCGGCCCATCTATACTTCAATTAAAGCATCGTCTATTCGGGCTGTTTCCTAAACTGTAGTAAAAAACATTTTGTCTATAGAAAGGAAGTTTGACTTAAATACATATAGTATAGAACAAATCATGATTTTATTCGTTATAAATGGAGAAATACTTTCAGTTCAGTTCAGTTTAGTTTTGCATCCAAAATGCACCCAGAAAGCATAGAAATAAAAATGAATATGAACTCACAGATAATAAAATAATCCTGGTTCATAATAATCTGCCATAAGTAAATGTTCTGATCATAGGCTACTATTTATGTCATCCACCTTATCCCTATTTGTTTTTTATAAAAGTGCATGTTTAAAAACTGTTTAAATACCTGCACTAAACTTTGAGGTTTTCTTTCTTTTCTTTTTTTTGACCTTCATGGTCATTTCAATATAACAATCATCATCAAATTATAACTAAATACACAAGTTAGAAACAAAAGATAAAAAAAAAAAAAACATTTAGAATACAGGGCTGTATTAGCTGTATGTTACCCGTGAAAACATTGTGATTACGAGCCAATGAAATGTATGAAAAAAGGTGAATGATTCATATAATTGATTGACTGGGTGTTCAGGTTATTTTGTGCCTCACACATCTGTTAAGAGACAAACATCAGACAAAGATGATACAGTGCTGCAAGTTTTTTTTCCCATCTGATAAAGGCTGTTAATTGTGAGTCATTTATTCCCATAGGCTAATAATAATTAAATAATCTCAGAGATAGCTTTAAAATAGTAAAAAATACCTGCCGTATTTTATAGGGATAAACACTGATAGCTTACACCTTGAATATTGATTGCTTTTTGCTGCAGAGCCGGTTCTGTCTAATTGAAAGCATGCATGATTTTCTCGATAAACCCTGAACGATCACAACATCAGTCTGATATTAGATGGACAGTCCATAATTTAGGAGCCTTCGGGTAATAAATTCAACAAATCAGGATGTCATTCCCTGTCTGTCTCAGACAGCGCTTTATGCATGCACAATCATTCACCTCTTGTCGGCGGTACCTGCCTGGTATTGAAAGACACGGGCCATCAGGAACTGACCATACCCCGGCACATTGTCCCAGTCATGAAGCCTATTGATGCGTCAGTACCGTCTAAAATGGAGATTAAAAAAAAGAATCAGACGGTACACAGCAGGCAATAAAAACAGCCTTGACACAGCACCGCTCGCAGTGCGGGAGGACCTTCCACAGCCGGGGAGTCCGCTGCTGCGCTCACTGCATGGAAAGACCCGGAGATGTCTGACGGTCTCAAATGTGCTTTCATTCGTTTTTAATGTTTTTCCTTTAGATAACATTATGACAATGATTCGTGTAAGGCTGCAAATATGCACTTCAAAGAACATAGAATACGCTTTGTGGGTGAAACCCCTGTGGCTGTCTAAACAAGGATTATGTGTCAGAAGACTATTCAAAAAAGACAAGACACTGATTTCAGCCACCCTCAACTATAGCGCTACAATATTTCTTCCTGTGGGTGTGTTCTCTAAAAACTAGTTTTATTTTATTAAGATACAAAACAAGAAGAGGAGCCATTTCACGTGCAGTGGTGGAAGACGTACTATTTTTATGTCAATAAGGAGAGTAATATCACTCTGAAAATAATGTTACAAATAGTCATGCTAGCAACATTTTTGTTATAGGCCTACGTATGAGTGGAGAAGTATTTGCATCAAAATAAGTATTAAAAGTAAAGGTACTCACTCGGTAGTCTATTTAAGAGTTATACTGGATCATATTGGATCATTATTACTGATACATTAACACATAAGAAGCATTTTAGAATCGCAGCTGCAGGGGGAGGTGGTGGGGGTCATTTTAACTACTTTAATGTATTGCTACTGATCATTATTATATGTAACATTATAATCTGCAAAGTTACCAGTAAATTACATAATTCGTCTGGTAAGCAGTTTGTAGATGTTAAAACACTTGAAAGTTTGCATTACTAACGCTTTGATATAAATGTGGGAGACAAAATAATACAAACACCTGTCCGTATTTATTAATACAGCTCAACAGCAACACAAAATGGGCTACATCCTCTGAAATGACCATGCAGTTGAATCAATACCTCTCTCTCTATATATATATATTATTAATAGGTTAAGCGAAAGAAAGTTCTTCACATTGCAGTCTCTCTCTCTCTCTCTCTCTCTCTCTCTCTCTCTCTCTCTGTCTCTCTCTGTCTGTCTCTAGGATAAATGCGGAATACGGAAAAATAAGGATTAAGGAGAAAAAATAAATAAATTCAAATATCAAATATTTAAAATCATTGTTCAATGCTATTTTTGTAATCTATATGTGGCATAAACAATCAGCCTATTATTGTGTAGTGAGGTGCATATTTTTCTTCTTTTCTTTCTTTTAACAATCACATTGTCCTTTCTTCGCAGAATTAAATAGTTCACCCATTTCTGAAATTCAGTGAATAAAAAGCATTTTGTTTTTATTGTTTTATTGTTGCTGTCGTTATTTCCGAACCAGAGAACTTCAACGCGCGACACGGCTTGGGTTATATGATGTCCGAGCTCAGATGTCTGAACGTGAATGCAGCACGTACACACTAGAAAACCTTGAGTTGGTACAGTCGGAATGCTGGCCAAGGACATATTTAACTTTATTGAGATATAAATCATGTTACATTAGTTTGTTATACTTTGTTAATTATACATGTATGTGACATGACACATGTTAATGTTTTAAAGTGATATTCATTTGACGCAAGTATAACATGTCTGTAAGATAATAAGTTATTCGTCACCCCAAACATTCCGACAGTGGATTCGTCCGTCGTTAGGCCTTTGCAGTAGGGAGTTGTTTGGCGGACCCCGCAAGTTTTCCTTTACTTTACATGTTATTTTTGTTTGTCGTAAAAAGGGTAAATTTGTCATTTTTAGCTTCAACTGCTTCGTTGTTTATTCTGTGAGTCGACGGACCATAATAACAAAGTGTTTTGGGCGTGGTACACAAGTACACAGCTTAAGAGGAAAGGAAGGAAAGCATCGGTGAGTCGGACTGACCGCTGCTGAGCTTATGATGCCGACGTTGCGGGACAGCACCATGTCCCACCCCGGCGAGAATTCCCACCAAGTCCGGGTGAAAGCCTATTACAAAGGGTAAGAAATCGTTGTTTCTCCCAGCATGTAATCGATGTTGTTAATAAGCCAACCAGTATACGGTTTCGACTTGGAAAGGCAGCTAACCAGTTGGCTAATATTAGCTAACTCAGCTAACGGCTTGCTAATGTTGGGTACCAGGTTTAGGTAAACTTGACCAGGCAGTCAGACAGGTGAAACTGTCCAGGCACGCTGCCAGTTTAAAGCCAGATTCTCTGTATTACTTAATTAATGTGTCAGCTAGACAGCAAACTTGTCAAGTGGTTTTAAGTCAGTAAAGATGAGTTGTTGACCGAGCTAACAGTTGTTAGCAGTGGCTACTAGTTTTGGTATCTGTCTGTAACTAGCTCACTTTGATAAGGTGTACAACTGCCTGGAATGTTATTATTGATTGACTCACATTATTTTCCAGCTGGCAGTTTTGGCAAGTTAACATACGTGTAAAGATTGATGTTATGTCGTTTAGGGATGGGCAGGAAATCAATGCATTGAGAGCATCAATCAGAGCATTGATGTTGATACTATCACAGCAACAGGGTTGCAGAAAATCAATTTAAGTTGTGTTGCTTCACTTTTATTTTCATCTGGTATTATCGAGAAATACTTTACACACCAAAACTAAATGCCGCATTTAACTACTGCAACTGCAACGATCACTGTTTTTTAAACTACAAATCAATCTACCTGTTATTTTCTGGATTACTTATTTTCTAAGCAAAATGGCCCAATACTGTGAACCACAGACCAAGGAGATGTATTTAAATTTGTTGTTTTATGCGACCAACAGTTCAAAACTCAAAGAGATTGAATTTATTACAGTGTAATATTGAGAAAAGTAAGTTATCACATTTGAGAAGCTGGAACATTTGTTGGCATATTTGTTTTTTCCTCATTAAAAGACTTGAATAATTATATATATTATATTAGTTGTTGCTGACTATTCTGTTCCATTGATGGACTAATCAATTTATTATGTACTTGTTTCAGCTCCAGCCCTAAACCTAACCAGTCATCTATGCAACATATAACCATAATCTGGTGATTACATTAAGTAGCATTATTTGATAGGGAAAGACTTGGACACAAGAGAAGCATGTGGTTATAAACAATAAATATTATAACCAAGAAATATCAGTGTACTTTACATCCCTGATCATACTGAATATATGATCATTGAATATGGAAATGCAAGTGCTTTGAGTTTTTGTCATACCAAATAAGAGTCAATGATTACCCTCCAGCCTGACTGAGGTAGTTATGCTATTTTAGTTTTGCACTTGATGCGGTGATGGAAATCATTTGTCACCTAGTTGTGTGACACTCCCTGTTCCACTTTTTCTGTTTGATGGAGCCAGTGATTGGAGCCCAGCCAAGACTTGAAAAACGTGTAATGCAAGTCACATCAACTAGACCTATTGTATGTCTCACTGGCTCTTTGACTCACCTCAGGAACTCTGTTATGTGTGTTGATCATCAGATGTCATGTTGCAGAGCAAAGCATGTGAAGTATTTATGAGGTTGCTGCTGAGGAATCTCAGCAATGTTGGCAAAGAGGTAATGCAGTAAAAATGGTCTGGTCATTTGATTATCAGGATGCATTAAACCAAGATTTCATCATTGTTGTTGTTGTTGTTTCCCTACAGATATCAGGAGTGGGAGTTAGATGAGTTATAATGCTCCAAATCAATGAATTAGATCAGTACTGACAGATCAGGTCGTAGCCTCATATCCTTACTGTTTTCTTACTGTTGTAAAGTTGTAACAACCCACCTTTTTTAAACTTTCTGCAACAATGTAATTAAAACGTGCGCAGTCACTAGTGTCTGAGTATGAACAACTCCACACATAGTGATTAAGAGATGTAACATTAGAGCTGAAAGAGTTAGTCAACTAATTGATTAGTTGATCATCAGAAAAAAATCTGCAACTATTATGGTAATTGATTAATCGTGTTATTCATTTTTCAAGGAAATATCTTGAAAAAGAGTTTAGACATTATCTGGCTTCCCCCTTCTATTTGTCATATATAATAAAAGTAATGATGGGTTCAAATCGGTTTAAGGTTAGCTCTGCAAAGTTGTTTTTTCATAATCTTTTGACATGATTAATGATAGTATTTGACTAATAAAAAAAATAAACGTCAGATTTATCAATTGTTAGTTGCAGCCCTAGTAATCGTGTTATGCTCCATTTCTTTGTTTTAAAGTAGCAATCAGTGAAATCACCTGATGGAGTGATTTGTTTTACTGTTTAGTTTCTTGATGCAAAACAGTAGATATTAGATCTATATTGATATTTTAAAACCTCCTTTAAATCTCAGCAACATGCAAATACAAAATTAAATCAGACTCTTTCAATGGCTTTACTCTGTGGTAAAGTCTCAGCTTATCCATTTTCAGTACAGTGTTCTTTTTGAGTCCATTATTTATGTGCATGTCTGGTGTCAGTCAGCATCAGCAGACTGGTGTCAGCCTGTAGCAGTCTCAGCCTGTCACTAGCTTGTCTTCATGTTGCTCTCATTCACACTGATGGTCAGTAGACAAGGCTGCAGAGGCACTGATCAAATGACAAGAAACTGACAGTGGTGTTGATACTGTATGGTCGTAGTGGATGGACTGAAACATAGAAGAATATAGTGTCGTAGGACTCTTTGTGCCACTCAACATTTCAAAACAAGTTTACAACAATATAAAACAACAACATTTTAGACTTTTGCTTGAAAATTGATGATTTATCAGAATAGTAAAAGTAATTTTATTTTCTGTTTATTGACTAATCGGTTAATTGTTTCAGCTCTCAAATGTAGCAATGTTGAGAACTCTGTATAAACCTTACATTGTCTATAGAAAGTGAAGACAGTATTGTACTACACTTACAGTTTGCTTTTTAAGTTTTGGTGAGTGCTAGATTTTTTTTATTGCCCAACTCCTGCTCTGACTCTGGGATACCGGGTATCTCTCAATATCAAGTCAAATATTTGCATAATTTGATATTTTTGAATCATTTTTTTCTCATGTAATACAGCTGCACAGTGGCCACCTGTGCCCTACTTGTAGGCTTGACAGTTTAATAGTTTTATTGTCTTTTGTATGTATTTCAAGTATTTAAACAGAGCACAGTGAAATGTTTCTTGTTTGACAGCTGTCAAACAAGAGTGAAAATTTTATATATAGCTTTATATAGCTGTAAGTAATTGAAGCTAAGTAATACTTATGTGTCTTTAAATTTTTTTTCCAGCTATCATATGTTGTATGAATTATATTTTGTCAGAAGGACCAGAACAAGAATTTCACAAAGAGTGCATCTTCTGTGTCAATGAGTTTTTTTGAGGTGGAAAATATATTTCTTGTTCTTTGAAGACTCTTCTGACACATTGTTCTTTGTGTGTTTACCAGTCAGCTTAGCTTAGCCCCATATTGACAATGTTGTCATTTAAATTTAAAACTTTTTTGTAAGCCTATGTCTTAACGTTCAGCTCAAATTATGTCTTACACAAGACTGAGCTGTGTATTCTGCAACTGGTCTTCCTGGAAAAGAATACAAATTTCTGTATGCCACTGCCAGTGTGTCACCATTTCAGGCCAGAAAGAGCACTGTTTTTCAGAGTTGCCAACACTGACTAACATAAGGTTTCTTATGTGCCAGATCAACTTCAGGATTCCTGTGTAAAGCATGTTGTTTGGCAGGAAAATGGGATTACACCGACTCGACGAAGCAGTTCAGTTATTTTCCTCCTTTTGAAAGGAGTTGCTCTTCTTTTTCAAAGACTCCACCATCTGCATCAGGGCTTGAAGGCTCGGCTTTGTTCAGAATATGGGAAGCATTCCTTGTCTTGCTGTTTACTTTTACTCTGAAAACCCCTCAAGCACAGAACCACAAAGTCATACAACCCCCCACCCCCACCCATCCACCAACACACACTTACGATTGTAGTTACCCAGTCTGAGTATTACTGACTCTCGGCTTCTGATGATGCATGTAATGTATTGTCTGTGGTGTATTGTCTACACATCCTACACAGTGTGTGTAATACAGCTCAAGTGTTTGCGTACACATGTCTGTCTCTCTATTGTTCCAACTGACCTTGTACCCAGGCTCAGCGGGGGTACGTTTGGTTGGTGCTATTGTGCTGTGAGGCTCAAGGCTCCCTCCTGTTAAGCACCACAGGTGGTGTTGCTTGGAGACGACAGCATCCTACAGTCTGGACCGGTAGATCTGTGTTTCATTCACCCTGACTTTACTGGGGTTGGAGTGGGATGGTTGAGGTTTTTTTTCTTCAGGGGATAGGGTGGGATAAGTGGCTGTTTTGGTGACTTCAACTTGAGCAGGTGCATTTCTGTTTTTCCATCAGTGTGCGTCTCTGTTAGCATTTGATTGCTGTTCTCTGAGCGTGTGCATGAGGGTTGTGTGAAGGTGTTGCAGGGGGCATACCCAAGCGTGGCAGTGCTGACAGAGAGATGGATGGTCCTAGGTGCTCATGGAAGCCCAGAGAGGCACCCTGACCCTTCTTCCTGCTTGAGCGCTCACCAGTGACGAATGGCTTCATGCTGCGCAGATGGGGCTGCAGAGTCCTACTCACGGCAGTTAAGACGCCAGGGGCACAGGCCAACACTCCCCTCCACTTCCTCCTCCTCCTCTTCCTTCTTTAATTAAGCTGTACTGTAGGACAGTACTGAGCGAAGGAATGCTACTTCCTCCCAGTTAGTCACCAGTGATGAAGCTCCTGGCAGCTCACAGAACAATTCTTCTGCCTTAGTCACCCTGAGGAATCCCACAGCTTACTCTTCTTTGTGTAACACAGGTGCTACTACTACTACTTTTTGATCTGATTTTGAAGTTTCTTTTTGGCTAATGTTGTGTTATTAATGAGTTAAAAAGGCAGTATTGGCTAATGCATTTTCCAAAATCAAAGGAAGCAGCACAGAAGTCACAAAACAGCTTATGTGGAAAAACACTGTCACCTACAATTCAGTTAAGGTCAGTTCAGCCAATACCAGGGCTGCGACAAAGAATAATTTTTATCTACCGGCCGATTGATATTAAAATTTGTCATTTTTTAATAGTGAAAAATACCCATTAAGCCTATCACAGAGTTCAAGGTGACACATTCACATTACTTGTTGTGTTCAAGCAACAATTAAAAGCCAAAGGTTATTCAGTTTAACATCATAGAACTCTAAGGAAACCATAAAAATGACTAAAAGTGATTATTCAATGCTAATTAATTTACTTGTTGACATAAGTTACATAACAGTTAGTTATCAATACATTGATCAACTTATGTATTAATTGACTAATTGTATCAGCTCTCTTAAGCAAGTTTGCCCATATTTTCAGTGATGCTTCAGTGATATTACAATAGAGAAACTAATATATTTAATAATAATATATTTCTTAAATTGCAAGTAGTCTGTTGATCATATTTTTGATCAATTCATTAGTCTATTAAATGTACAAAAAAAAAAGGAAAATTATGAAAAATGCACAAGTTCTCAGGGTCCTCTGTGATGCTTTCACGTTTTGTCGGAGCCACAGTCCAAAACCAGAAGATATTTGATTTAAAATTATATAAAATACAGAAAACCAGCAAACTATGTCTATTATTTTTTATTAGTTAGTCTGATAGTCTGCTGAAGATTTTCTCGATCACTCGATCCATTTCTTTGCATTTAACATATCACAAAATGGTAAACTAAACCTATAACAATTTCCCAGAGCCGAATATTTCAAACTATTCAAATTGCTTGTTTTTGTCCTCCCAGTAGCCTGTTTTTAGCATCAAATCAAATCTGTACATCAGTTTAAAAATGATAACACTCCAGTCTCAAAAAGTGAAAAATCTTGGGTGAAAGTATTTTGCATCCCTGCTGTCGTTGTATTTTTATAACTCCATAGTCTCTTCCAGCTTCCTGTAACTGTTGTAGCTATTAGCTGAGTCTGTATCTGTGTCACAGTGGATGCTGTTTGAGGCAACTGAGACGTGGTTTAACTTTAATTACAGTGTAGACAAACAGTATTTAATGAACACCCACAGATCAGATCCAGTTACATGTGCTACAGTTAAAGTCACCTGCAGCCATTAATACGCTTCCTGGATTGTCGACAGTCACAGTGTGGGAACTGAGGTGTGTATAGAGTTCATGCACTTTCTATCTTCTGATGTTATCAGGGGTTTAGGAGGAAGTTGTGTTGCCATGCTGGGTGTAGAGGAGAGATCAGACTGTAGGAGTGTTGTTGCCAGTCTATTCCTCCCCCCTCTCACAGGCAATGATTAACACCACAAGGATGGAGGAAGCGGGTGAGAAAATAGAGGGAGGAAGGAGGAGTAAGCATCAGTCTGAGCTTTGCATTAGTTTATTCTTGCTCAGAAAGCTTTATTCATTCTTGATGTGTGACTTTTAGACAGTTTAATATTGGCATTGAGGAGGCTGCACTCTATAGATGCATGCAACATTAATGTGAAACTGAAATATCAGCCAATAAATCACAGCCTAGTGTATATTTATGTGTTTGCTCCTGGCAAGGACTGACCCTACAGTGACCTTACACACTATACGCTGTCCTTGGACTTACAGTAGCTGTCCTTGAAAGTGTGCACTGTTTGCCCCATGTGCTGGGATTTTATCATCCTGCTATCAAGCTCTCAAGTTGATGAAAATCTGGGTCCACCTTTGATGTTGGCAGTAAAGGGAGTAAGAGGAATTTATCCTTGCAGGTCACTCCCTGGATGGTGGTTTTTATACATCACCCCCTCCTTATATCTATTTGCCGTGCTCCCCTCGTTTTTGCCTCCCCGCTTGCTCCTGATCCTGACCCCTGAGCTCAGACTCCTGTCGCCTGCAAACCTGTAAAAGCTCATGTGTACAATTTCCATCCCCCACCTTGGGTCATAAACACAGCTGAGGCTGGCCACAGGGCTGGGAGCAGGCGACATCAATCCTAACGCTGCCATGAAATGATGACGGACAGATGATCCTGTCCACAGGGATAGATGCTCTACGTTTTTCTTATCCCACGTCTCACCGTAATGTTTGAGTGTTTTTGTTTATATCTGTATGAACTGAAGAGGCAAGGTGTGATATACTTGTTGATTACGGGCAGTAAGCCAAGTGTTGAGGGTTTTTTTTCCTGCTTCTCAGGGAAGTAATGGAGTGCATTGGTGAACAGTGAGCCTTAACCACAGCGATCACAATCATCTATGACTCATTCTGTTTTAGCTTGTGTCTCTCCCTCTCTCTCTCCCTCTCTCTGCCTCCCTCACTCTTTTGCAGTCTTTCTCGCGCTTCTTTTTGCTCTCTTTCTCACACCCACAATCATGCTGTACAGATGAATGCACACACAAATGTGACAGACTGCGAGACTGTGACTCACACACGGCAGTGTTTGGGGAAAAAAAATGACGCTCTCGCACCTCTTTTTTTTTTTCCCTCTCCATCGAAAGTGTGCCACTCTCCCAAGTTTTTCTTTGAACGCATCAGTGAGAGGGAGGGAGTTGGAAAGATTTAATGACAAATAATAATGATAAGTGCCCTAATTATTGATCAGTGGATTAATGAGTTGGTCAGATATCAAATAAAAATAGCAACCTTTTTCTGATACCAGCTTCTCGAATGTGAGGATTTGCTGCTTTTCTCTGTTTAACTTGATTTTAAATTGTGTATCTTTTGGTCAAAACAAGCAAGATGTCGTGGATTTTGGGAAGCTTTGATAGATTTTCACTATTCTGTGTTATTTTATTGAAGAAAAAAATCAACAGATTAATAGATAATGATTAATAATCATGTCTGTTTGTGCTTTTGTTAAATTGTTTGAATTAAATAATCACATGGTCAAGAGGAAATTGACAGTGGTTGCTTTGGAATTACTACAGATAATAGTTTCTGTATTGGTGGTGGTAGATTTTATTCTTATTCTGTTATTAGCTTACTATTTAATCACATCTATGTAATGGTCAATTATACTTATTTGTCTTTTCTGCAGGGACATCATGATTACCCATTTTGAGCCATCCATTTCATATGAGGGTCTGTACGGGGAAGTGAGGGACATGTGCTCCATGGACAACGACCAGCTCTTCACCATGAAGTGGATCGATGAGGAAGGTACGACTCCCTTACCCTCGACCCTTCACTGTTTCTCTCCACTTGTACTTCATGTGGAGGAATGAGAGAAATGCTGTTTTTACAAAATTCACCTTACATGAAAAATATACAAACTAAACAAAAGTCTAGTTGAAGATTACACACCACATCATCAAATAGATTTAACAACCAATGAATCCACTGGCTGATTTTGCCAGAATTTGCCACCGTGGTATGTGTTAACATGAACACACAAGCACTACCATTTCACTTGACTGTAAGGCTCAGTCTTTTCTTGTCTGTCAAGAAAGTGTAGCCCCCCCCCCCCCCCAATTCCTTGTTGTCAGCCAGTTAGTCAGGCAGCAGTAATAGTGTCAAAGGAAAGATGGAGCCATCAGATTGCTCTGCTCAGGATAAGGTCAGCCTGCCTAAACTCATTAGACTCAGATCAGCTCCCACTGATTGCCACCCACATACAGTCATTGCAGTCATTAGCCTGTCTGAGACAGAAAAGCTGCTTGATGGGTGTAATGAAGTACTCTGTCAGTGGTTGCTGTCTCTCCTACTGCCCCATCCATGGAAACCGCAAACACGGCTGTGCAATGTGAACTCAAGTCATGATTACAATAATTAGAAAATGTACCTTTATACCCTTTATAACCCTAGTTATAAAAATAGTTAACCACCAGAAAGGTTGTGTTAAATGTGATCTGCTGAGCTTTGAAACTGAATTTTGAATCCCCATGTATCATAAACTTGTTGAGGTAATTTCCATGTAAACACAAACAACAATATAAAACATTAATCTGTAACTTGATTAGAAGACTTGGGTAGACTGACATAACATGTCAATTGTCAAAAATACTTTTCACCTGAAGTGCATCCCTTATCAGACATGACGCTCCTTTCAGTCACAGTCAATAATCCTTACTTGCTCCCATAAGTGGATATCTTGGTTAAAAAAAAACAAAAAAACCTAGAAATTGACGACACATTTGATGTTATCATTGTCACAGTCCACCCACAAGTTCTATATCAACCAGAAGTTTGTATTATTTTAGATATACTTTGTTTGTCATAGTTTCTGTTTTCGAGCTATTTATAAAGTCAGAGGTTTGTCGTTGTGATTAGTTGTGTGAAACACTAAGAATAGAATTTCTGGCCTCAGTGTTAACTCACACTTCAACTTCGACTTCTCCATGCGTGTTGCACTACACCTGACTCCTCCTGTTAATGATAAGGAAATAATTAGATCTGCCTCTGAGTGGTATTTTAATTATTGACTTAGATCAGTGTACAAATACAGCTGGGCAATTAAAAGGAAAGAATTTGAAATGGCAGCATTGACTACTGCCGTCTCCTACGCTCCTGCTCACACCCACACGCTTTTTTCAATGTTTACTTAAAGTTCATGCATTACAATTCATATCACACCTGCAGTGGTTAGACAGAAGTGTTTTTAAATGTCATGTCTCTACAGCATAACTCACCGTTTACACTTGCAGCCTTTTGCTCTGGGAACTGGAAATTACAGTTTTCATACCACTCAATTGTCTCTACTTTGTTATTGCTTGTCTTGTTGCTCTGTGCATTTAAAAGTAACCTGGCCATTGTCAGCTTTCTACAGTAACCTGATCTCTTAAATGCCATGTAAATGAGAAGCTTGGTTTCCCTTACTGGGTTTCTAATAGGGTTTTCACATATTGGCATGTGAAATCTGAAAACTTGATAATATGTAAGAAAAAATGATAAGAAAAAGGAGGGAGTCTTAGATTTGTAAGGGACAAAATCTTGATTAAAAGAAGGTAAAACAAAACAAAAACATTTTGGCTTCCACTACTGATTATTTTTTTTAGTATCCATTCATTTGTTTATTAATGTTTTTGTCCATAAAATGTCAGAAAAAATATTATTATTGTTATTTCAATTCAATGTGCAAAGATATTTCATTTGTTGTTGTGTATGACAAAGAAGAGCATCAGGTCCTCACATATTAGTCTCTGGAACTAGCAAATGTTTTTGTTGGAAAATATGAATATAAAATCATTATGCCATTATCAAAATAGTTGCCAAGGTAAAAAAAAGCTCTCAATAGAAAGTCTGTCCTTTCACTGTGCTGTCAGTTGAAATGCTCAAGCAAAAAAGGAAGATACTGTCTTCTGCCTGCAGTGTCATGTCGCACTAATATACTTAAAATGTGACTGCTTTTGCTCCACTAAAGCAACATCTAATTCAATTAATTGGAAGTTTAGCAGGAATAATATTAGTGCAGAGGATGTAAAACATTCTCTAATTTCTGTCCCTCACCCGATTTCTCCCTGTAACCTGTAAGTATGGTGAATGACATCCGGTATGTCTTCCACTCTTAGGTGACCCCTGCACAGTGTCGTCTCAGCTGGAGCTGGAGGAAGCGTTGCGTCTCTACGAACTCAACAAAGACTCAGAGCTCATTATCCATGGTGAGCCTTGCTGCTTTTCACACAGAGTTTATTTAGAACAACATATACAGTTTCACAGTTTGACTCACAGGATGTTCTTGTTTACTGTTGCCAGTAAGATGTTGATTCAGTCCAGGTGCTTGGACATTAAGAGGTCCAGATGAGAAGCCTGTTATCTGTGACTCTTTGCTCTCCTGCTGCTCCACTCACCTCTCAGTGGAGCCTTTTATGACAGTCAAGTTTGCTGCATTTTATCTGTGCTCATTGATCTACAGTACACCAGACCTGAGGCTCAACATCACAACTGATGAGCAGTGCCAACACAGATCATCCAGGCAGTTGTGCCAGGCACGCAACTTGACTTGTTCGCAGTTAACTGCCTGCCAGTATGAGTAATTAGTGTCTAGTGATATTAGAAATAATCACTCAGGCAGTTGTACTGTATATCATGCAAAATGTGTTCTTGTAATCTAAAACAATGCTTTACAATGCCACCTAAATAAAGCACTGAGCACCTGGTCACTCTGTCATACGTATTACAGTACAGTATAAGTAAAACCTGATGACGACCGTGCAACAATAATGCAAAATAGACATTTAGTTTTGGTTTACTTGGAGTCTGGAAGTGTTTATCTGTCTGAAAATTGTTTGAATGGGACTTTTCTTCTCTTTTTCTGGCATAATGTCAGGCCACAAATATGCAAATTGCATATTTCGATTTGGTTCACCATCAATCCAAAAACTCTCTGGGTTTATTGGTGAGCCTGTGTTGCTGTTGCTTGCTTTGAAGTTCTTTTCCTTTTCCATTTCTGTCCGCTTTAACATGAACACAGACGCCTAGATACTGTACACAACACAGATGCATCAAAACATATGGCTAATGTCGCACTGACTTGTGAAAACAACATAATTTCCCCTGTTGACGTCTGTCTATGTGCCCTTGAGCTACTTCACTTCCTTGTCTAAGCTTAGCCTTTTTGACAAATAGTTGTGCAACTTCATGAATGTAGAGGTCAGGGCTAACTCTGATGCTGGGGGGGGGGCATTTGATTGACAGGCCATGTGTGTATAAGCATGTAACCTGGGGGTAGCGAGGACAGGGGCTGTGTGGTTAATGTAAGGTTTTAATCAAATCAGAGGTGAGGGGTCAAGAGTACAGTGGATGCTGGATGCCAGCATGACGGCAGAGGATGAATGGAGGAGGGGGAGAGGGGGAGAGGATGTGACGGTGCCGCGGGGGGTCGCCTTGTCTGCTCGTTAACGAGCTCGTCCGCTGGAGCCCACGCTTCGCCTCTGACTCACACTGCCCCCAGTCTAGCTCAGCATGTCTCTGTCTTTTACACACAAATAATCTTTGCCGGCTTCTTTAAGATTGTGTTTTTCCCCCCTTTTCTTTGTATGTTGCACACAAACATGTTTGCACTGTCATAAAAACATGAGTGAATTTCATCACTAACCCCTCAAGGTGACAGGTTTGCTACAGGTACTCTTAACTGCTGTCATGATGAGAGGAAGTGAAGTGTACTCAGCAGCAGACAAACACTCTCACATGAATGTTGTCAGTCTTCCCACCCTAAGATGAAATGAGGATAACATAAAGACTTTCTAAATGTAATGATGTCTTCTGTTTTTTTTCCTCTCAGTGTTCCCATGTGTACCAGAGAAACCTGGTATGCCCTGTCCAGGAGAAGACAGTGAGTTTAACCTTTGACTTGTTCGTTTTACCTGATTTTACAGCTGCAGTCCCAAATAGACCTGAATTTAATTTACATTTTAAATTGCATGCATTTCAGCGAATACATTTATCCTTTATAGATTGTCAAAATGGCAGTGAGTCAAACTTATGTGCTCAAATAAGGGTCAGTATATTTTTGAGTTTGTGAAAGGATAAAATAATTTCAAAGCCTGAGGTCGTATATCAGACTTTGTTAACCTGCATGAGAAATTGAAGTGTTAATTGAACATCTTGACATTATTGTAGGTGTAGAAAAGGTTTGAGAATGTCTGAAAAAAATGTGCACACAAATTGTATCAGTGATGAGGTTACACAGCATCCAAGAAAAAACTCATTTAAACATTAGGCTACAGATTCAAAGCAGAAAACTGTGCTCAAAATTCCCACACTCTGTTACACGCACACTCACATTTTAGTCACAAATAGAGCTCAACTGTTAAATTGGCCACTTGGATACATGGTCTGATTTTATCTCATTAAAGATGTATTGTGTATGTGGCAGCCGATAAATAACAAGCAGTTCAATAACAGACAATTACATAGAAATATATTTTACAAAGCAAATCAAAAGAATCAAATACAGTGATGAATAGAGAATCCTCAAAAGTAAAGGAGGGAGTATATACATGTAAGTACATTGTTTCTACAGTTTGTCCACTAGAAACAAGTGATTTTTCAACTGTAAAATTTTCTGTCTTGCTCATTTGTTGGCATGCATACACACAGGTAAAGCTCTTTTTCCTCTCCACAGAGTCCATATATCGGCGTGGAGCCCGGCGCTGGAGGAAGCTTTACTACGCCAGCGGTCACGCCTTTCAGGCCAAACGCTTTAACAGGGTGAGACATGACTTTCAGTTTTGCTCCACAATATTTTTGCACTGGAAGGTCTTTCACTCGTGCTTTATTGGCTTTAAATTTTTTCATTCTGTATATTAAAAGTTATGTGTTTCTCATATTTGACTTTTTCATTGTTGAATTATTGTAATGGGGAAAGTATCTGCTGTGAAAATCTAAACATTTCAAGCTTATGTGCATTTGAAAGACAATGAGACATCCACTGCCCTTCAGTAATTTGTCTTTGTATGGACTGATAGAGTGAGACGGTTGATGGTGACACAGAACAATAGCTTTGGTTGGATTTTATTCTAGACCAGCAGGAGCATCTTCTTGAATGTAATGTGTGCATGTTTGTGATGATTTTTCTCCATCCCCCCCCCTGAGCAGCGAGCACATTGTGCCATCTGTACAGACCGGATCTGGGGTCTGGGAAGACAAGGCTACAAATGCATCAACTGCAAACTGCTGGTGCACAAGAAGTGCCACAAACTGGTCACAGTGGAGTGTGGCAGACCGATGATCCAGGTGAGGGCTGTGACAAATGTCATACTCATTAGCTTGATGGTGTGAAGTGGCTCATTATCATCCATGACTCATACATACTGTACTCTGTTTCTGTGCTGATTATACTTAATGGTGAATGTTTCTGTCTAGGAACCAATCATGCCAGGGCCACCATCGAGTCAATTAGACCAAACTGAACAGCCAGGTAACACACACACACACACACACACACACACACACACACACACACACACACACACACACACACACACACACACACACACACACACACACACACACACACACACACACACACACACACACACACACACACACACAAATGAAGATTTTAATTTGACTCATTGCCTGCAGCTCCTAACTTCTGTTCCTCAAAGCCAGGGCTGGCGATATTCTATATTTTCTATATTTTCAGTTGATGTCGCATGCTAGTGGGTATTTATGGCAGCAGAACGGTGTATGTGTGATTGAGAAACAAAAAGCACAAAAAAACTCAGGAAGATTCAAAGGTGTGGCTCACTGTTTTCTTAATAGTTTTTAAACAACAATGGAGCTCTGTGGCACAGAGGAATATCAGACTTTAGGCTGCACTTGTTACTTAAATCAATTCATTGCTAATTCCAGTCTTTTCATGGGATTTATTGCCTTTAAGTGAAAAATAGATAACCTGTATTATCCTTAAATAATAAATAAAGATCTCAAGTGGTTGCTGGCATCTGTGTATCTTTATTTCACCCAGACTACATGTCTGGGTCGAAGCTGCATTTGGGGTTTTACCTACAGGACCAGACTTAAGTCCAGTCAGGTGGTTGAGAGGCTGACTGGAATGAGAGAGCTTAGGATCATTGTTGCTATTGTTAGGGAGGTATCTGAAGCTCCTTCTAGATGCTCACAGGCGACCTGGGTAGTTGTGGGGCACAGTGGTGGAGACACTTGGATGGAATTTCTTTTTAACTAGAGCTTCTTTTTAAATGCATATATGCTAAAATAAACTTAATAATGTTTAAACTTCAATTGTTGATAGTGTGAGAGTACTCATATTGTATGACAATGCATGTACAAGCATTTCTTCTATGTATCTATCTACAGAATAGTTAGATAGAGTTACTTTATTTTGTTGCTGTTATTTTAAATATTCTGGTGGTGTTATATTGTGGATACAAAAGGGTATTTTCTTGTCTAACCAGGCAGAGAGAAATTACTCAGGCACTGCAAGGCTGTGAACAAAGCATCTGACAGTCTATCACCTACTTTCTCTCCTTCTTCTCTCATCTCTCCTATTTCTTTCCCCTCTCCTGCCTCCCCCTCTCCTTCTGTCTGTCTGTCACTTTCTCCTCTCTTCTCTCAGGCCCTCAGAATAAAGACTCCAGAGAAAGCTTGACTTACGATGGAGAAGAGAAAGAGGTGAGAGAGAAATCTTTTCAAACACTGTTGATGTATGACTCACAGTCTGTCAACCTGTCATGTTGACAAGATGGATGTGTGTGTGTGTGTGTGTGTGTGTGTGTGTATTTAGACAGAGAAAAAACTGTTTGCGTGAGAAGGAGAAAGAATAACATCACCTGTAATTGGAAGCAGGCTTTAGTCCACTTATTTTGCTAGGCCGTACATTTGGGCGATCCTTCTCCCACCTGCTGTGGATATGTGATATAGAGAGCATACAGATGCAGGCACTTTTGCAGTGCTGTGGGTATTGATTTCCTTTGGTGGAGCTAATAAAGTAACCTTTTATCACAGCTCTTAACACCAGAGGCTGATTAATGGCCCAAGATGTAGTTTGGGTTTGGGGTGGGGGTTTGTTGAACGGAGCAGGAGAGCTGGAGATGGATAAAGAAAGGATCGAGTTGGACACAGATAGACGTAGATAACAGAGAGCAAGCCAAATGATCTTATCTACGGGTCCATGTATGACTCTGGGGAAGGCAGGTTGTCATGGGAAGGGAGGTTAGATGGATAGCTAGTGGAAACGGTTCAGTACAGAATAGATTATAGGAGAGGAGGGAAGAGTGAGGAAGATGAGGAGGTGAGGAGATGGTGAAGGTGGTTTTCAGGTTCACAGAGAAGAAGGACTGTGATACAGCGAGTGCCTCCTCTTACGGAGGCAGCATAATGGTGTTTAATTAAGACAAGAAAATCATTACAAAGATTTATTTTCAAAAAGTGGAGCTGGAAGCAGTTTAAACTTCATTTACAAAATCACCCAAAGGAAATCACCCTCTTGCCCAAACCAAATCATTCGTTCGATCAATACTTCAATGAAAAAAAAAACTATCTTTCTTGCTTTTCCCTCCATAACTTCCTCCCAGGCACGGAGCAGTAGAGACACGGGGAAATCGCCTTCGAGTCTGGGCCTAGCAGACTTCGATCTGCTGAGGGTGATTGGCAGAGGCAGCTACGCCAAGGTGCTGTTGGTGCAGCTGAAGAAGACCGAGCGCATCTACGCCATGAAGGTGGTCAAGAAGGAGCTGGTCAATGACGATGAGGTAAACAAGAATAGCAGTAAACAATGCTCATGTTTGTCATGAAAAAAGTAGTGAAAAATTGCCATCAGCTTCCCAGAACCCGAAGTTACATCGTCACAATTTTCAAGAAGCAGCAGAAATACTCACAATGAACAATCCAGGACCAGGAATTGATGATTATTATTATTTGTTTAAAAAAAAAAAAAAACTGGCTTCAGTGATTAATAACTATCAAAATAGTTGCAATAAATTTTCTGCTTTCAGCTCTAGACATTTTCATATTATCTTATTTATTTATAGCAGAACAAGTGACTCGGTACACTGCATCTTTTAGTTTGGTTAGACCAGCCATCTGCTTTGAGAGGTTTAAAGGTGTGTTATTGTCACAGTGTGACAATAACAGAACACTTTACTTTATCTATTGAGATGTGAGAAGGTTAGTTAATAGCGTGGTCATCAGCCTTATGTCACTGCCATGTATAATTAATGTAATTAGCACAATCAATGGGAGCTGTTATTCATAACACAGTGAACATTTGTCTCATTCGATTGTGTCTTGTCTGAAACACTTTGAGGCAAGTTGACAGACTTCTTTGAAGCCATCAGTCTTTCTAAGAAGGTCTAGATAAACCATCATGTCATCAAAAATTGATCTAGGTGAACACATGTAGCAGCACAGCCAGCGGCAATTGGAGTAGTTAGCCTTGATTAGATGCACTTAGCGTGATTGACAAATTGACAAGTGCCTGTCGATCAATGGTGAAGTGTTCTGCTGTCCCTGCCTTGTCAGCGTGAGCAGCATCCGTGTCCAGACATATAATCATCCAGCCATCGATGGAGGCCTGGTGATGCTTCTACTGGCTCAGCCATTTTCTTCTGTCGCTGGCCACCATACATGAGCGAACCTCGAGCTTTGTAGCATGGTCGATCGAGCTCTGTGCTTATTCAGCTTTTACAAGTTCAAGGGTACTATGTCAGACAGATCTCTGATTGACATTTGGTTGTGTCTTTGTGTGTTCCTCTTCCAGGACATTGACTGGGTCCAAACAGAAAAGCACGTCTTTGAGCAGGCCTCTAATCATCCCTTCTTGGTGGGCCTCCACTCCTGTTTCCAGACAGAAAGCAGGTGATGGCATTTTCCCCTGTGCGTGTCACATGGTTACTTCACGGCTTGGGAAAGTCGGCAAGAATGTGGAAAAACAATCAAGTTTGACGTCTTGATTTGAAAATGTAACAAAATAACCTTTAAAGTCACAGAGAAGCCACCAGACCTGCGCCAGCCTTTCTTGCATTTTTTAGATCAGGAGGTAGAGCATAATGGTTCAATGAATCAGTTAGACCTCAACCACATGCTTTGTAAATGTAAACAAACTTTTAGTCAGCTGACATCCAAACAGTCACATCCTACTACAATACTGCTCTGTTGAGCAACCACTAGCAAACAGTCAGCTGTGGGTTGCTGTTCACCCCACATCACATTTGAGAGGATAAATTTATGTATCTGCCCCTGAGTTCAAGATTAGTCACCAATAATATAATACTTGGAGAATACTTGCAGGAAGATAAGAGCAAAGTATTTTTATATAAACTATACCAAAAGATGATTTTGAACACAAGAGATAAATGAACAATCAACACTTTGACACAATGTATTTTTCATTGGACTATGGTGGTTAACTGCTCTGTCATAAAAAGTCATAAACAAATGTCAAAATAGATACTGTAGCTTGCCAATGAATTACAAAACAATATGTATGAGTGAGTTCAGTGAGTGTTTCCTCCCCTATGGGTCCTGTGGTTTATGTAAACAGACCACTTTGTTGAGGTCAGAAAAGAGTGCAGTTATGGTTAAGGTTAAAGGAAGATCCCCATCAAGGTGAAAGCCCCTGAAAACTTGATTTCAAATCTTGGGCATTTCTTTATGACATTAAACATTCAAAACACACAAATGACTTAATAACTAAATCCAGCAAAGTCCAGAAAAAAAATCCTTGGTATGAACAGTTTTGATTGATTGATTGATTGATTGATTGATTGATTGGTAGCAAGGAAACACCCCCACAAGTATTATTACCTTTTTCCAAATTCATACCTGTCAGAAAAGCTCACAAGAAACGTCAAGTAGATGAGGGAAATGCCAAACTGTATCAAGCTGAAGGAAATGAGGAACTCCACTCAGCATTTTCTAAACTCCTTAGAAATCACACAAAATTCTCAACTCCTCTGCCTTTTTTGTTTTTATTTTAGTTTTTGTCGACATTTTGTGTCCAAGAAATTGGAGTGGGTGTGTCTGCTTATGTGCTTTTTTTTTTTTTCTTTTAGTTACTGATCATTGATGTTAAGAATCATATTTTTAAGTTTTCAGGTCCTCATCCTCTTCCTTTCAGGATGCTGGTCCCATGCAAATGACTAATTATGTGTCGAAGTGAAAAATAAACTCAGTATTTCCCTCTTTCACAGGCTCTTCTTTGTTATTGAATATGTGAACGGTGGAGATCTCATGTTCCACATGCAGAGACAAAGGAAACTCCCAGAAGAACACGCCAGGTAGAATCATTCAAAAGAATAAGACTAATGCCATTTATTGTCTGTTAGTAGTCGTATGTGATTTTGAGAAACTGCTCATTCCCCTTTTCAGATTCTACTCAGCAGAGATCAGTCTTGCGCTTAACTACCTCCACGAACGAGGAATCATCTACAGAGATCTGAAACTAGACAATGTGCTGCTGGACTCAGAGGGACACATCAAACTTACAGACTACGGCATGTGCAAGGTGTGGTTTTCAGGCTCTCGTGATATCATAATGGACTTTGGATAAAAGAACCTGCGAAGCTGCAGAAGTGTCAGTTTACAGGCCGCTGAGATGATCTCACAGCTTATGATATTTTTTGTTTTTGCAGGAGGGCTTGAGACCGGGCGATACAACGAGCACTTTCTGTGGTACCCCCAATTACATCGCCCCAGAAATACTCAGAGGAGAGGATTACGGTGAGAATTACAACACACAAGCACTTACCAGACATGCTATCTGATGATTTGGTGTGATACAGAATATGAGGCATTGTGCAGGAATATCTGAGATGCTGATTGCGTTATAGATGTGCAGTGGTGCAGTATCTGGGATATCGACACTATTTAAAAGGTCTTATTCAAATAAATATACATACTATAAAAACAAAGAAGAAAAGCAAGCAAAAAAAAACAATAAAAATTAGGTTAAACCTTAAAGGAATAGAAAATCAGAAAAAAAGGCTAAAATTGAGCAAAGGAACTAAATCAATAGAATAGAAGCAACAAAGGAACAAATATATTTGAAAGAAACAATAAGATGATAATTAAAGCAATTGTGACCTCCTCTGAATGAATTCTGCTTTTATCTTAACTCCTTATAATATATAAATATATGACTTAAACAAATGGATTTTAGGTTCACTAATGTGTATGGGTCACAGTTAATACCTTTCAGCTGTTAAGGACAAAGGTGTAGTTACAAGTGTTCAGTCAAACATCAGTTTCTACATCATAACTGTGTGCTGCACTTACACGCATCTACAAACACAATACAATAAAAATAGAAAAAAGAGCTCCCTGGTTACCAAAAGTGGTATCATAGCAACAAGTTCCACTGTTCAAGGATCATACCAGTGTTTTTGCATGTTAACTCATTTTTTTACATGTGAGCACAATAGGCCTTTTTCCACAACAACATTTTAACTGGTCACAATGGGGGAAAGCACATGAGTGAATGATATAATAAACGAAGCCTGAACTCCATTCAGCTGCTTCAGTGTCAGAGTCCTGCTATTGTATATGCTGGCCAATTTTCACAATGTCATGAAAATACCAATACAGGCATGTGCAATGCACTATAATCTTTAGACCCACAATAGTCCCCTGTGCAGAAAATAGAAACCAGCTAAGTTTGCTTATTTTGATCTTGAAGACAAACAGTTAAGTTGTTGAGTTGATCTGACAAATGATTTTGCCTCAGACTTTAAAAAGTGCGGGAGGTGTGAGAAACTATCAAAAAAGGAATTACCCGGGAAAGTCTTTGTATGCTATCAGGAATTGGTTCAGATAGGGGATTTCATTTTGGATCCTGTTCCCTGACTTTAACAAATCTCTCATCAAACCTTTTATCTCCCCTCAGCCTTTTTAAACATTAGATATATATGCTGCTCATCTTATGTCCTGGTTGTAGGCACAGGTTGTGAACACTGATGAGGCTGCCCACAAAAGCTGTTGTATTTCTGCCCTCTCAGCCTGCTAAAGAGATTCAATGGTTGTTTTGAACACTGCCATTCATTCTGCTGCTTCGAACATCCTTTTTCTATCTGTGTTTCCTTCTTGTCATAAATATAATCTGTCACGTACAATGTGTGTGTGTCTTCAGGGTTCAGTGTGGACTGGTGGGCGCTTGGCGTGCTGATGTTCGAGATGATGGCGGGCCGGTCGCCCTTCGACATCGTCGGGAGTTCCGACAACCCGGACCAGAACACAGAAGACTACCTCTTCCAAGGTAAAACACTCACCGCTGAGATTTAGAACTGGAGGAAAAAACAGCTCTGTGGAAGCATATAACACCTTTGTATTGACACCTTTCTAAGGGCCTTCTCTCGGTACCAGGCACATACCATCTGTTACAGGGAAATGTGTGAATACATGTGTGTTTTTGTTGTAAATACAGTCTCACAATGTGTCTGTTTTCTTATAACTGCCTGGCTGTTGAATAGCTGGGAATTAAAATGTTCCACTTGACAGACTAAGTCATATTTCAAGACACTTCTATCAAAAACTATTGACACCGCATTGAAAGGCTCTTTAATGTATGTTCAACATGACGATACCTGACAGGATTGAACTCTTACTCATAAGTGCAGCAGTGTCAGTTCTGTCCTCTGTCATTTTAGCCCCAGGGGACTGTCTGTCTCACCCTCTCCTCTTCTTGTTCACCCCTCCCCTCTCCCCTTTCCTCTCACCTCCTGCAGTTATATTGGAAAAACAAATCAGAATCCCCCGCTCGTTGTCAGTCAAAGCCGCCAGCGTCCTCAAGGGATTTCTCAACAAGGTAAGAAGGGGTCAGATAGGCCTGGATCAATCTTATACAGTGTTTGCTCCTGCTAGCCCTTGACAAAGATATTATTATGGCCTCTGTTAAAGTCGAAAGTGCCCTCTCTCACTGTCTTGCATTTCTCTACTTCCCCTTCCTCTCTGTGTCTCAATGTGGCTCTCGTCCCTTTTCATCTACACTTAATACACTTTTTAAACTTTTTTGCTCACCAAACTCCTCTTTTCCACCTTTCTTGCAAATTCTCTCCTTTCTCACCTTCTCCACCTTTTCTTTCCTGTTGTCTGACTCTTTGTCTGTCTCCAACACCATCATGTCTGCTGTCTTTCAACCTCCTCTCACCCTCTCTCCCACAGGATCCCAAGGAGCGTCTAGGCTGCCACCCTCAGACAGGCTTTGCGGACATCATGGGCCATCCATTCTTCCGCAATGTCGACTGGGACCTTGTGAGTCATTCACTTTCATTTCCTCTCTCTCTCCACCTTCTCCTTTTCCTGAATCACCTCATGCATCACTTTAATCACGAATTTCATCCTAATTTGTAATGAAGGAAATCAGTACTGGTGCATGCCGGCTGCCAAATAGGTCAAAATCAATCCATGTATCGATCCTACAGAGAAAGAAAAATGGAAAGATGCTACTTGACAGCAAAAGGTCAAATCTAAGTGCATGGGGTCACCCTCTCTCCCCTGCCCTGCAGGCGTAGAAGCTCTGTCAAAGCTGAGGATTATTAGCGATGAGATGAGACGAGACTCCATGTCCTTGTGCAAAGCAGGCACACAGGAACAGAAATAAGAAACAAACAGGCCAGGCAGAAGACTGACAACAGCAGATAGGCTGACTAACAGACTAACTGAGACAGGAATCCAAAGATGGAAAGGAATGAGCGGAGACACATCACTCACTGACTGACCGTCTTCACGACGAAGCTGAAATGTTGAATTCTGGATGCATGTTTCCTATTCTTATATCACACGGGGAAGTCATTTGAGCGATCAGATGGTGAAACAACAATTTATGTTCAGAAGGAAGCCATTAATTAAAGTCTAATTTCAGCTTCATTGTTAAGGAATAATTGTATTTTAAGTTCCTTGTGAAGTAAAATACTGAAATAGACTAAGCTTCAGTCAAATTCCAGTAGTCTCAGAGGTTGGTGTTACTTTTTCTCAAGCTGTGGTATGTATCTTCGAAACGGTAACGCTCGTGGGGTGCTCCCAGTCAGCTGTGGTGAGTGAGGAGGGTCAAACACAATGCGGGTTATCTTGTTTGGTCCTACAGCTACTGTGGCACCAGTCTCACAAAATCTTAATGATGGTTATCAGAGGACTGTGTCACAACATGCAGAGCATCACACCCTGCTGCATATGGAGCTGCGTAGCTGCAGAGCAGTCAGAGTGTCCATGGTCATAAGGTTTCAGCTTATCAGTGTCCAATAAAAATCCAGCAGGAGAAATATGAAATTAAAGTTGGAACCTTCAAGGCAAAATGGGTACAAGAAAAACTAATAATTAATATACTTGAATGTGAAGAGAAAAACAAATCTCGCTCTCCAGAGTTGGATTTGAATTGAATGCAAATAATAATTTGAACTATTGTTATAGCACACTGAAATCATCAACAGTTAGTGAGTTCATTTACTGTCAGAAACTACATCAAGAAGTAACATAACAAAAGTGCCAATCAGGACACCAGAAAATTTCCAAAGCACTGAAATATATTCACACGTGCAACCCATGTGTATTTCCGATGCTTTAAAACTATGAGAATGTTGTTATGATCAAGTGGAGCAGGGTGTTGGAAATTAACATGTGGGCATGTATTTACGGTTAGTCTGCACAGATGGTGAAGACCTGAAAGACTTTTTGTGATTTGCCTCAAAGGGAAATATAAATAACACCGACTTGACTTGACTTGACTTGACTTGACTATATTAAGCAAGTAACACTTATGAGAATCCCAGTGAAAGTCAAACCAGAACTAATGACACTCAGAGTTATTTATGAAGCTTCCTGTTCTCAGTTTCAGAGATGAGTAACATCATCATCATTTCAGAGTGAATAAGATTCCTGTTACATGACACCTTGAACCGTAGAATGAAACTTAAGTCTTAGTTGTGGTGTGTTGTCAACAAATTAAAAAGATTAACAGGCTGATCTAGATATAGTTTCTTACAAGACTGCAAAACGACAATTATTTTCAGTATTGATTAGTCTGTTGATTTTTTTTTTTTTGTTTGTTTTAAATATAAGATTAGTCTATAAAAGGTCAGGAAAAAAAGCACATTGCTAGAACTCAAGGTGATGAGAATAAAAAGTCCAAAACACAAAGATATTCACTCTACAATAATAAAACACAATAAATCAACAAATTTTTGGCATATGTGCTTGAAAAGTGAAATTAATCAATTATCAAAATAGCTAGCAATCTGTCTGTGTTGATAGATGAATTGATGAATCCTCTAATGGTTAAAGAAAAATCTTAAATTGAACTTGGTGAACCAGCAGAACCGTGACATGCTGTTGTATCCTTAATTTGATCCTTAATTAACTTAGTTGAACTGGTTTAGTTCAAACCGGAACAGGAAGTGTAGTTATGAAACTCTGCACACGTGTAAATGATTCGGCATGTTTCATCTTCAGAGGCAGACAGAAGTGACTTTAACAAATGACAGACACATGCACCGGTGGACGACCAGACAGACAGACTGACAGACAGCCAGACAGACAGACCTTCAGACCTTCAGACAGACAGGGCAGCTTGTCAGGGATCACCATGACCTCTTTTTCCCTGTTTGGTCTGGAGCAGAAACCCAGCAGTCGGTCAGAGTGTCTGGGGAGATCAGCTTACACCTACCCCACCACCACCCCCACCCCTCTCCCTCTCCCAACACATGCACACACAGCTACACACACTAACCTTAAAGTTTGCCCTGCAGTGCACCTGTTGACCTGCAGTGGGAGCAGTTGTTGGCTTGCTTGAGTGTGAGGTGAGGGGTTGAAGTACAGGTTCCTCATGAAGGCTTTAATCAAAGGTGTTGGTCACTCACATGAAGTATTTAGGATACTTCTACACATAAACATTCGTGGCTTATAAAATATTATTATAGCTATATTTGCTTTTTCTGTCTGGTCTGTTTTTGCTATTGTGCAAGTGTATGTTGTATGCGTTGTGTGTCATCCTTGTCCTTTGTCTGTCTTTGTATTATATTACTGTCTATTTTTGTCATATCTGTGAAATTTTCACTTTATTTTTCATCCTTTTGCACCAGTAAAAGAAAATGAAACTGAATAGAAATCTAAGGAGGGATGTCCAAAGAAAGACTGAAGTGTCTTTATGTTTTTATGTTGTTTTCAATGCGTTTTAGATAAATAATAGACTTATCTCTAGACCAGTTTACAGTTTGACTATTACTCTAGGGCTGGAACAACTATTTCCTTCATCAATTAATCTGGTGATTATTTTGGCTAATGTAATCATTTAGTCTATAAAATGCCAAAGTAGCAGCAAATAACAGAATAACAAAGGATGAATGAATTATCAAAATAATTGGTGACTATTTGATTGACAAATTATTGCAGCTTTAGTTTTGATTTTTAAAAACAACAATGAGAAGCAAGTGATTTCTCTAACTTGCACACACACATTGTTTAGAAATTAACATAGTTCAGCCCTATCAAAGTACCTGCAGATTAATTTTGATTATGATCAACTAATCAGACTAATCGTCGTTGTAGCTCAGTATTACTCTTCATACTCAGTTATCACATGTGTTTTTAATGTTCCCACCTGTTGCCTGTGTTGTTATTTCAGCTGGAGCAGAAGCAGGTGGTCCCTCCGTTCAAGCCCAACATCTCAGGGGAATTTGGACTGGACAACTTTGATGCCCAGTTCACTAACGAGCCCATCCAGCTTACGCCTGATGACGAGTGAGTTCCCATTTCACTGGCTCCCTCTTTCGTCCTATTATGATCTAATATAATACTTGTAATTTACATGTGTCTTTGTTCATCACAGTGACGTTGTCAAGAAGATTGACCAGTCTGAGTTTGAAGGGTTCGAGTACATCAATCCACTCCTGATGTCGGCGGAGGAGTGTGTGTGAGGGCTGTGACGTCTGTGCCCATATACACCACCCCACCCCACCCCCCCACCCCCCACCTCCCACCCCACCCCACACACACACACACACACACACACACACACACACACACACACACACACACACACACACACACACACACACACATGCACGTGTTACATGGTGTCTCAGTGTCTTCAGGCTGCATGGTTACAAGACAACCCGACGACATCAACCTTCTGTTCGAGGGCCGCACATGCACAGTAGAACGCTTATTTGCCAAAACCAGTCTCACACTCTGCCATTTATAACCACTTGCCCTTAAGCCTACCTTCTTTCTTAATTATTTTTATATCATGTAAATCTGCACTGATATCAATTTTTCTCATTGGGGCCTCTTTATCAGTAGCCAACGAGGCTACAAAGTTCTTCCAAGGTTGCTGTACACCGGGGCGCGAGAGATGAGGCACGTCCCCTGACAGATGAACTGAGCATCCTCTCCTTCCAGCTGGTGGGATGTTTTCAATGCATATTTTATTTGTGTATATATANCATGTAAGCTGATCTGTGACCAGCGGGCCCCAGGGCGCGGCAGCAGAGGAAATGTAGTGCTGCTAACGTCTTAGAGCGCTCTGTGATCTGCACTAACCACTCCCTAACACACATACGCAGGACATATATATATATATGTATAAATATATATATATGAAACTACTATTGAGGATAAACATTAGACAAGGCATTTTTTTTTAGCTTCAAGCCACAGTCAGACAAAACTGACAACTTAAATCATCATAAAGTCGTTTTGAATTTTGTTTTGTCCCAACATCCCTTCTGTAGAGGAAACAGAATCATAACACTAGCATTTAAAAAAAGAAAAAGATAAAAATCTATATATTTTTCTCATGTTTTATTTAACAACATAGCAGTCATCATGTGTGTTGTTCTGAGTGTTAACAGAACCAAAAAAAAAAGTTCAGGCTTTGTCGTTTAGACAAATGCTCAACATCTGGAAAATAGAGTGAGTCTACTTCGAGTCCCTCCTCCCAGAATGAAGGAATTTAAACAGCAGTATCCAACCAACACTAATAATGAGTGAATACTCAAAACTGTGAATGATAGAGCTTGTTATGCCGGGAAATGGGCTGGAAGAGTAGCACATAGTACCTGAACGCTGGAGCACAGGTTTAATTTTACTGTGCAGACCATCCATGAAATATACATTCACACAGGACCAAAAAAACATTTTTCTGAAAAATGTCTTGCTGGTACGTATTAGAAGGTACAGTATATATATGAAAGATGTGCTGTCCGAAGTCATAGAATTTATATATTCAGATTTTTTTTTTTGCTAATTTTTAATACTATGCCTTTCTGAAAGTTATGGTCTGTTATCTTTTTTGTACTTTCTCCATTCCATGTATGTCTTTTTATTGTAAATCAAAAATACCAAGTGATGGTTGAAACAAGAGCTCAGTAGAGAGTCATGACACAGTGCAGTTGTGGTCCTGAAACGTGGCTTGAGAACTGTAATCTGTGTCTGCTGTGCTCCATTTTTACCATATCTAACCCACAGTAATCAGATATTTTGTAAAAGTGCTTTAAAGCATATAAAAGCTCTGAAGAGCAACTCTCTACCCCTCGACTAATGACACTAAGTGATGACGCATGAAGCTTCTCTCTATTTGGAAAATATTTTTGGGCTCACATGATGACAGGAGGAATTCATTCATCTGTTATACATGTTACTTCTGCTTTATTGTTACATTTTTGTGAATCGGGTTTAATTATGAATTTTTTTATCACTACATGATTCCAAAATGTTACTGGGGTGAACCCGGTGGAAACACTCTTGTTGTATTTGTTATGTTTTGGGGGTGTTTACCGCCCACAGGACTCTGCTGAACTTTATTATTAGTGTGCAAAGAAAAAACACAGATGTTAAAATAAACATTTTATTTCTCTCCTTGTGGTAATAAGTGATTGTGTCATTCATTTCAAGGAGCAATCCATCAATTTAGTCAATTTACTTGTCATGAGGAGTACTCTTCGGTCCGGAAAACATTTGTATGAAGTCGTATGTTGCTCTGGAGTTGGAGAAAATAACCCAGATGATTCCATTATTTATATATCTCTTAGTTTGACTTTAGACAGAAATTTTAATGGAGTTTGAAAGACGAGCACAGTTAACAGGCAGGGCAGGTCCAGTGAGAGATGTTACTGAATTGCATCATGCAAAGTGTATGATCCAGTTTTTTTGCAGCTTGAAACACGCTAATGACAAAGTCAGGACATTTCAGCCTCTGCTGCTCTGACTTTGGCAAACCTAAGTAACAATAAAACATAACGATAAGTAAAATATGTAAAAATGTGCAATAAAACAAATAATCATCACCATAACTACTAAGAAAACTCAGAGCCTTCATTCTCTGGGCTTCATGAATATCTGCACTGACCAAAGAGACACACAACTAGACAAAACACAAACTCCTACCTCTTAAGATTTGTGACCAAAGCAAAAGAATGTATGTGATGTGAAGTGACACGAATGACTGGAGCTGTTTTACCTGTCAGTCCTACTAAAAATACAACGCTGCACAGTCAGGCTCATGCAAACACATGCCTGTCTGAGCTAACTTCAGGCTGTGATGGTTTTACTGCTGAGACCAGACCTGAGCTCTCAAACCCAGATGGGTGTCTGGAGAGAAGGGAATTAGGCTTGAGTCGTTAAGCTTGAGCTTTTCCACTCCAGCTGCCTGTGTCTCCGCTGGTCACGTGACTCCCGCCTGGCTTTTAGAAAGGCTCTCGCCGTCCCCAGGGGTGAAAAGGTCATTGACACCATTGCTCTCCACTCTGCCCTCACACAGTGCTGAGAGGTGGGGAAAAGGGGTCATGGAAATGATGATGTATCAAAAATAATAAAAAGGATTGATTTGTGTGCTGCAATAACTCGGACAATGGTGGATAGAAACCCATTGTGTGAGGCTTATTTCACACCCTGCTCCACTAAACCATTGTATATTGTCTCAATTGAACCAGATTTTGTGGAAAATTACTCCCCTTGTGCGACCGCATGAGACAAATACAGCATTGCCGCACGCAGGACGAGGACGAATGCCTTTGCATAATTCTGTATTCCCATGGTGGCATGTTTGACACTGTCTCTGTGCCCTCTCTGGTGGAGAATGGGGGTACGCCTCCCCAGGCGCTGTGGCTCCACATCACCCTGTGGAAGACACAGGGAAGACTAACCTTCTATAATTAATGATGTAAAACGGAGGAGGATCTGAAAAAACATCCTGTTTTAATTGCTGTTATCTTGTTGGGTGTTTTATTCCATCCCTGAAGGGATTAATTAGGCAGCAGAAGAATCATACTCGGTGCTAAATACAGTCCCTTAGTAAAACACACACTGCAATTTAAGGTGCATCTAGTGTTCTACTTGGCATGGGGGCCACACTATCTCACTACATTTACTGGAGCTCTTGACTGTAGCACTGAGGTAATGAGTTGTTCTGGGTGATTTCCAGCATCAGTGGTTAAATGTACTCACTCCACCCTCCCTGTAAGGTAGCTACAAATTGGTGTGCACTACTCCAGTGATTGTAATAATATAGAGGAGGCATCTTGAGTGATAAAAAACATTTGTTCCATCAGTAGACCCTTGAGATGATTCCTCATGATCACCACTTCAGAAAACACCTACACACTGAATATAAACGAATGGGACTTGCAAGTAGACCAGTAGTCCAGTAAAATGCATAGGTTAGAAAAGGAGAGAAACACATACTTGGCTTACACATGTTCCATAAACCAGCAGGCTTTATAAGAGAAAGATCCCAGTTTAGGAGCTACAGTACATCTCAGTGGTGCAAAAGTAAAAGTACTACATTACAAGTAGAAGTCCTGCATTCAAAGTCTTAAATAAGTACAGAACAATTATAATCAAATATACTCATTCTGCAATAAAATGTTCCCTGTGACTGATATATTATTACATATGGCACAGTTACATTATTAATAGTGATGCATCAGTGCATTTTACCATTGTAGCTGCTTGAGGTGGAGCTAGTTTCAGCTACTTTTATTACTCTTCGAGGTGTGATCAGTTTGATTTAAATGACACTATCTGAGTTTAGAGGAGAAATCATTCACCAACAGCTCATAGACGTTAGAAGAAGGAGCCCATATGAGAAACTGCCTCTTTTAAAGGGGTCACAAGCCAAAAGATTGGGAGCATTAAATTTTATAAGCTTATCACAGGTTTTTTTCTTCATTTGCAAAGTAACTAAAGCTGTCAAATGAATGATGAATTTTTTAAAAGCGAGGACTTTGATTTAGCAATGTGATCACAGGTACAAACGTGGTCCATACTGAATGTCAAGTGACAGCATTTGGAAATCCCCTGTATGATGTACATGTTTGTCTCATTTCTGTCAGACGGTCTGGTTTCAGCTGCACACACGCAGCTCGTTTTTTTGTTGTGACTGTTAACACACCAGTCAAGTCTTTCTTAATGCATAACTCACATACTGAATGTGTTGAGAGAGTTACCGGTTCCCATAATCATTTCACTTTTTAGACCAATTCTTAGACCTAAACTCTGCTACCAGCACTCTCTTTTTCTAAACCTGTATTACATCTGTCTTAAGGATAGATAAAATAATATTTATACATCAGGGTCTGTGGCCCTTATGCTGAATTTTATGATGCCACTGGTGACGTAAAGTGGGTTGGTTTGGTCGGGGTCTGGCGATACCAAATCTTCTTAATAAGTCGATATCAGTCCAGAAGATCAGATTGGAGCTTCCCAAAAAGCTATCCCTTCCTAACATGACTACTCCACAGTCCTCTTCCTCTGTAAAAATGCAGTGTAAAGTTCTGCTGAAGTGAATACAAGGCTTCAGCAGCCTGGGTTTGACAAGTCATGTAGATACTTTCTAAACTCACAGTTGCAGGAAGTCCCATCATTGCGTCTCCCTGGGCAGTGTTTTCTGACTGGGCTGCAACACAAAAGTTCTGTGCAAAGAAAAGA